GGAAAGCTATTTTCCTCAAAGCCTGAATCTCCTCAGTTTCGTATCCGAAAAGCAAACACCAATTTCTAAAGAACTATATATATATATATATATATATATATATATATATATATATATATATATATATATATAAAGGAATATTTTAGTACGAAGAAAGTATAGTACTTTTATAGAAGAAAAACTTTTTGGGCGTGAGTTTAGTTTCATTGATTATTAATTGGTTTTATCCTAACTTATTTATAATAAATTCTTAGTTTTCGAACTGAACTTCGAGGTTTTTGTTTTTTTATCAATTTCGCTAATGTCTGATTTTTATTTCTGTTTTAGGTTTTGGGCACTATGTATCTGTAATTTCTCGTTCGGGTATGGAAGGTACCTCGACATCTGTAACAACACCTGTTATACAACAAACGAGTAATACTTCCAGTGTCCAGTTTTACTACAAACAAGAGACATCAGGTTCAAGCAAACTCATGGTTGAAATTCAGCCTTTATCAACCCTTACGGCAGAAAGGGTTATGGAAAGCAAATTCTTTAAAATGAAATATGAAGGCTGGGTTATGGGTTGTATCGACCTTCCGGCAAATGAACGGGTATCAGTAAAATTCACTTCCGTTAGTGGTCCCAGCTATTCAGAGTCCATTATGCTGGATGATATTTCCTACAATGAATCTCGATGTGTGTGTAAGTTCAATTTTCACTCATTGAAATTAGCATTGAACAGTAGAACTTCGACCCACCCAATGGTAAGGGAAATATTCTGAATGCCTTTCATCAAAATTAATTAATTTTTCTTCCTAAATATAAATCTTTGTTTATCAGGATGTTTTCTTTTCTTTTTTTTAAACTTCTACTTCAAAATACTGAAATCTTAAGGAACAATACGTGAAAATCACATGCAATTTCAAAAAGAATTTGTTTGCTTTATACAATAACAAATGGCGGCTCGGCAAACTGATTATTTATGTAGGAAAATTTAATGCAAACAGACACAAAAAATAATGAAGTAAGGTTTCTTTATATTTCTTTGCTTAGATATTTGACTTTACAATTTAAAAATTATCAAATTCCTAATTTTACAAAATTAATGGAGAATACATTTTTATGTTAGGTGGTATATAAAACTGACTTTGTACAGGTAAATATTTTTCAAATGAAAAATCCTAACTTTACAAATGTGTCAAATTTAGTTTCTCTTACCACTTTTTCGACAGGTTGGTTAGTTTATAAGATGATCCTCCCACCTGTAAATAATACAGCCATAAAAGAATTAAATCAATTGTTGAACATCTATAAATCTATCAAAATTAGCCTGTATGTTAACAGAGAGTGATGCTTAAAGAAAAAAGAAAGCCCTTAAAACATACAGAAATCCACAAACAGATCAAATTTTCATAAAAGCAAGAATTTTACAAATTGAGCATAATTTCTTTTCAGTAATTTTCTTGCTCATATTTAATACAAAACCCCTGAAAATTAGCTCCAAATTACATAAATGCGTTCCTTAGATGGCCGCATCGCCCGTTAAGATGTCTAAACACTATTTTAACTTTGACTGAAACAAAACCCATTTCGATTTTGTCCTCCATGTCTCAATATTACAACATTATGCTTGATTATTTCAACAATATTTTTTGTCTTTGTTTATACTTTGCCGGGATTTTCTCGCTACTTACAATCACCAAATAAACTTAAAATAATTTATGATGTTTGTCATTAGAGATTAGTGCCGTCTTTTGAGGAATATTTTATTTATCGTCTACGATTTAAACGAGATTAACATTTTGCATAATTATAAACGCGTTTATAAATAGTGACTATTTACAGGTGTGGGTCATTTGTTGTTGCTTGATATTATTTAATAAATAAAAGATTTATAACTTAAAGAAAATATAGAGAAAAATTTTGGATGCAAATTAAAAAAATGAAACAAGTTGGATAATATAGAAAACAATTTTTACTAGTAATTAATACAGCCATAAAATGAATAATACGACCAAAAACAGAATGATACAGCAATAAAATGAATTATACAGACAAAAAAAGGATAATACAACCATAAACCCCCGACAATAAGCGCGAAATTACATAAAAGTATTTCTCAAATGACCACATCGTCCGTTAAGATACCTAGACACTAGCTTTTACAACCTTCCGTGCAATCAGTGGTAGATCTACTATGAGACTAATGAAACTTAAGCTTCAGGATCTCGAATCTCGGAGGGACATGGAAAGCAGCTTTTTTAATCAGTAAATTTTTTCAAGAAAATAGTTAGTGATTGCTATTAAAATAAAGTTTTTTTAGAAACAGAATAATGAGCCAATGAATTGAAGTAGTTAGCCTTAAAATATGCTCTAATACCTATTTCATATGGCCTGAAAATTTCCTTGTAATTGGGCAAATTTCAAATTTTCTAGGGGGCTTGCCTCATCTGACCCACCAGTGTATTGTCACATTGAGTTCACCAGAATCTATTCATAGCCTACATTTTGACAGCTGGATCCTTGAATTTATCGTTGCTTGGTTGTGAGGGTGTCCCCCCGCCCCCATATCTGTTCAACCTTCAGGGCTCCCAAAATGTAGGTTCACCACTGTGTATGATTATTTCAACAATATGATTTCTCTTTGGTTAACTTTACCGAGATTTCCTCGCTACATACTATCACCAAATAAATTCAATATAATTTTTGTCGTTTGTCTTTAGAGATTATTGCTATATTTTGGGCGATATTTTATTTATCGTTTTAAACATTCATTGAATGTGAGTCATTTTTTTGCTGCTTGAAATTATTTCTTAAATGATTTATAACTTTTAAGGAAATGAAAATATACAGAAAAATATCGGATACCAATTAATAACTGAAACTAGTTTGATAATATAGAATTTTTTTTTTACTTCATTCTGTTTCATACAATTTGTTACAGATGGTATTGTGAATAATATATGTACATTTGAAGAACCAAATGTATGTGGCTACAACATCAGCTGCCGAGATGCGACCAAATTTCTGTGGAAGAGAACACAAAGAACTAGTTCATCCACAACAGGAGCTTCTTCAGATCATAGTGGAAAAGGCGGCAGATGTAAGTAAAGTTTCATTTATCCTGCTTTTATGTGCTTGAAGTTAGGTAACGAAAGATTTGGCTTCAAATTGTTTAAATGTGTTTGAAATTGCAAACATGACTCATTTAATATCACGCCCCCAAAATGTATACACACTTCAGGAAAGGAAAAACTTGTATAGATATTGTAATGCTAAGTTTATTTACACATCATGAGATTAATACAAGTTACCTTTGGGCTCTACAATCACAAGAGATGCTGAAAATGGTGGCCTTTAGCTTCCAGAGATTTATTAGTATGGGGAACTACTGCTTGGGCAATGTTGGCCAAAGTGTCCAGTGGGATTGCTGCACATGTATTTTCAATTTCTTGTCTAATGGCCACCAATGTACTCGTTTTTTTTTTTTTTTTGCGGTACACAACATCCTTACAGCCATGAGAACGATACCATCTGTTGATAAAAATATTATAGTAAACGATGTTTTTGCAATTTGATAAAACTATGAAAGACATTTTTTTCCTTTTCGGAAGTGTGTATATATTTTTGGAGGGTGGGGAGAAACAATGGTTCGACTTTAAAATATTTTTGATTTAATTTTTCTCCAGAATTTCTTTTTATCTATGCACATTTGCTTGAAAAGCTTGTGTTTAAAATATTTTAATGTAATGTTTTCTAAGGATCGTCCCCCACCTCTAAATAAACTGAAAAGATATTCACTTATTCGTTAGGTGGTGACACTCTAAAATGAAGTTATCAAAGAACCCATATATATATATATATAATTAAGTTATGAAGAACTTGGTAATCCGTATGGGTAATCCCAAGGAGGATGAAATCCTGTGAGCTCAATGTAAATCCAGAGCTAATATTTAAAATAAAAACAGACCACTTTAAGGTACCATTATAATAATTTATTTCACCAGAGTCCTTTTAAAAGGACGCCGGATCATCAGATAGCACTTCCAACAACGAAATGAAACGAAAAATGAGATTAAAATTGATGGGTAGTGTAAGTTTTTGTAATTTAACAGGGGGTGTGAGAGGGATAATTAAAGAGACATGTTAGAGTATAGGGAGGGGTTAATATCATATCTCTCTCAAGTGTACTTTATATTGGGGTAGGAGGAGTGACCAGTCCTTGACCTATTAAGATGGTTAACTTAACGGAAATGATATATAGAAGTGGGAGGGGAGTAGGGAGAAAAGAAAAATGAAAAATGAAAAAGAAAGAGGAGACAGAAAACAGTAATACAGATATATACAAATGAGTGTTACAGCAAAGAGAGAGAGGGAGAGGGAAGTAAATCGAAAGACGCTGTAATTGGGTTTTAACAATTTATGTAAAGGATAGATTTCAATGCTTGATAGAAATTTAGATGTCTAAAAAAATTGATGATTGCTATCAATTTAAATATTTAATTTTTTAAGCAAATAGTTTAGGGGCTTAATATAAGTTAACTACTATTTTTATCAACACATTTATAGAGAACATATTAAAGAAATATTTTAAATTATAATAGTTTATTTACCCGACCAATCGTACTTCCTTAATATTGTAAAAATAGTTACGGTAACATCTTTTACTTTTAATCTAATTCATGAATGCAATTTTTCTTTATTATTATATGGGTAAACTTACTTAAGGTTTAGGTTTCATTATGGAATAATATTTGAGGGTAATATTAAAGATTTTTACAGTATTAGGAATCTGTTTTATAATTGCTTTAGGGTGGTTTGAGTCGATATTTATGTATATGGGCGATTGGTTTTCCTTTTGGAAGGATTTATAAATGTCATTGTCGAGATCAAATGTTACGTCTAGAAAATTTACTATTTTCAGGTTAGATGATATTTTGATTTTAAATCTTAGAAATTTGAATGCCTTAATTATTTTCTTCTGAACAAATTATTATAATGGTACCTTAAAGTGGTCTTGTTTTCTTTTAAATATGTATGTATATATATATATATATATATATATATATATATATATATATATATATATAAGCATCCGATCCACAGAATATATGATTTGACAACGAATTATGAATGCCAAAAGCACTCAGTAGACATTGGATAATTTATTTTGACATTCTTCTTAAAGAACTTTCTTTGGTCTTCAACCAAACTTGAATAATCAGACGTTACGCAAAATAAATCGACAACACTTGTCTATATTATTTAATGAAACATGTATGGGTATATATATATATATATGTTTGTGTGTGTGTCATTCGCAGACAGGACTGTTTTGCAGCTCTTCATAGCGACTAGACAACCGAATACCTCAAGCCCGGATTGAAACCCAACCGATTTAGTGTCAGTTAGAGTCTCTACCACTGAGCTATCTTCACTCGAAAGGATGCGTCAGCCAAATCTAGCGTATTGTTTTTACAAATGTAAAGAATCGCCAAACAGATGGATGGATAGCCACTCGTATCCGAGGATGCCTGTCTACTAGGGCTGCTAGCTATTCCCTGTTGTAGACTCCTGCTCAGGCACATTTGTGTTTGTTTAGCACCCACAGAGTCCACTTGTGGTTTATAATGCAACTATACTGAGCGGATCTCAGTTTCTTAGAGAGAGCGCCTTATCTTGTGTGAACACAAACATCAACGACTGCCAAAAGGTTCCGTCTACCCAAGGCTTGAGTCAAACTGTGGTATGGTTTTCAGGTACTTTCGCCTCCTCCAGACCGATAACATTATATTATCAACTTAAATGTTATTTTTAGTTGATACGCATATTTGTGTAGACGTTCCGTTTATTTATTAAACTATATATTTATTTTTGTCTACCAGTCTGAATATTCGAGAAATATTGAAAAAAATATGCGCTCTCCAACAGGTTTCGAACCTGTGTCCTCCTGGGTTGAGGGAACCGTTGTAGATCCGACGTGCTTTAGACTGGTTCGGTTTCGAGGAAGTTTTGCTGATCAAGCAAAGCTGAATAATGCTTTTAAGCAAAATCCTCGTCATAGATTTTCGAAATTTCGTATCTGTTCCGTTTCGTATCCAGACGTAAACAAAGCAATTTCTGAAGAAGTGATGGATTTTTATTTATTAATCCGACAGATTTTATAACTTTAGTGAATATTCATATTTTAGTAGTCGCCGCGTTTATATATTAAACAGTATATTTATTTATTTTGGTCTTCTGCTCTGAATATTCGAGATATAGACGAAAAAATGGCTGATAAAATATCCGAACGAAATATGTAAGATAGAATAAATGAAAAACAGATGTTTTTTTATTTCTTAAGGATCGAACCATTTTCCTTATTTCCAGGGAGAATTTGAATGTATCTGAAAGTAACTCAAATCGCATCTCACTAACTGACACAAAAAATCACAGGAAATCCTACAAACGATGACACAAAAATGCATTTCCACATGTAAAAAAAACCGACTACGAACACTAGAAGCATTAATATTGAAGCAAAAAGTCTGAATCCTTAGATAAAGTTTCTGATTTCGTAAATATATTTTCGTGTGTTGTGAGAGGAAGGAAAAACAAGAAATGATAATCATGTATGCATTTTTTGTGATAATAATGTTTATTTTAGTATGAATTTCTTACAGATTTCATGTATACTGAATCGTCATTTGGTGGTCCAGGTGACACAACTGACCTTGTGTTTCCTTCATTCGTCACACCCCCTGGACATTACCTCAGTTTCTATTACAACATGTATGGTCGTGACATTGGAACTCTACAGGTGAGTTAATATTTTTTGCAAAACTTTGAAGAGAAGAAAAGAGAGGAGGATACTGAGTTAAAAGTTTACTTCTATCAAAGCACAATGATAAGTGGAGCTAAAAGAGAAATTATTTAATACGGAAAGAAAATGAGTTACAAAAAATTTTGAAATGACATCTCGGTATATGGATATGAAATCTTTATAAATTTACATTACAGCTCATCAGTTAAATTCTGAAGATATAATTCAAATAATCTTCTGTGGATTCGACAATAAATAAAACAATTGATAGGATATGATTTGTTTTTCTATCACTTTTCTCCCCTCCCCCTTCAATGTAAATAATCCTTTCTTGATGTGTCAGAAGATATTAAACATTCATTCGTTAGAAACAATAAAACAATTGATAGAATATGATTTGTTCTTCTGTCACATTTCTTCCCCCCCCTTTAAACTAAATAACCCTTTCTTGATTTGTCAGTAGATATTAATCATTCCTTTGTTAGAAACAATAAAACAATTGATTAGATAGGATTTGTTCTTCTGTCACTTTTCTTTTTCCCAATTCTAAATGGTCCTTTCCTGATTTATCAGTAGATATTCATTCTTTAATATACTAGCAATGTACACTTGGTTTTCATTATCTTAGGTAAGAACCGGTTTACAAGAAGGAAAACTGTAAAATCCAAAGTATGGGGAAGGCAATGGAAAACATTTCGCTATCTTTTCAAAGAAATCATGGCAGTTCTCAGATAATGAAAAAAAAAAAATCCCCGGAGAGCTATGATCGCCTACTTTCTGAAGGGCGACTTTGTACTTAGTTTTTGTTACAGTTTAGCAAACTCTCTTTAATTTCTTTTTTATTGGGACCCTTCCTAATTTATTTCTTTTAGTCTATCAAATGGTGTTTCTACTTACATTTATATTTGGTTAGCCTATGAACTTTTCAGCTGACTCTGACAAGAGACGCAAAAGTGAATTAACTGATATGAAATATTCGTTAAGCGTTGAAAAGCAGAATTAGAACATCCTATACCCGTGAACTGAATGAAATGTTCGGCTGGAAATTCTAAGGTTAATGTGTATCATGATAGACACCTGAAGAAGGTGAAGTGATACAAAGGCCGAAACGTTGCGAATAGAAGTACCCAAATGAGTATGCTGGCTCCAATAACAAAATATATAGTAACTAGCAGCGTTGCCCGTGCTTGAGTCAAAAATCGTACGACACATACAGCAAACGCTATCACTTGACGTAAAATATTTTTGCCCTTCCTTGCCTTTAAAGGAGTGCCCTTTGCCGTGCTGATGTTGCTACATGCCTTACTTCTTGCCTATCTCACACTACCAATTTTTTCTAAGCTCTACACTAAACATTAAATCTGTTACGAAAAAAGAACTAAACAAAATGAACACAAAACGATCAGCTTTAAAAAAGGACTCGTAACTGGAAAAACCGAATAAAAAAACAATGTTAACAACAAATAATTTTTCACACCCAACCCAGTTTCCTGAAATGTTGAGACTGGGCATATAACTTGGGCGGGGTTGTTGTTGCCCTTGTTTTGTTAACCTGGTACTTTGAAAACCATACATTGATCCGATTTTAAGTTCAAATAAAAAGAGCTCAAAAATGATTAACAACGCGACGTCAACTGCACAGAGTCCAAAATGAGATGAAAAGCTTCGATGTACTGGGCCGAGTAGTGCAGGCGAGACATTCAACTTAAAACCCCCAATATTCGTATCAATCGGTTTTTTTTACAAAGTTTGCGCCCCTAATAAAAAAAATCGGGCTCCGGCATGACACAATGACTTAAATTGAAAAATAGGATCTGGGATGCGGCCTAGGAGAAAGAACAAAGTTTAAAGAAATGGGAAATGGACTGCTGAGGGCATGATCAGCACGGAGGTTTGCATCGATTTTTGAGTCACGACGGGGTCACACGGCATTTTATGCAAGGCACCTCTAAGTGGGCCGCGTAGGAATTTCTGGTTGAATTGTAAACAACGCCCGAAATTTTAGAATGTAATCCGCCCAAATACCGGAGTACCAGCCGATTTACCAATTTTTTGAAAGCCTGAGTCCAAATTGAAAATCTGTCTCCGTTACGAATTGACGCCGTAAATGTAGGAAGTTGAATCGACATTTGATGTTAATTGCAGCCTGGGTATGAAAAGAAGTCAAAAACTGACAGCTTATGGCAGGGTCGAACCGGAGCTTTTTATCGACATTTTGCTGCACGAAGGGGTCTCGCACGCATTTTTGAAAGGGCCCATAATCTGGTCGGGGTCATTCATTTCTGTACATATGGTATAGTGATGTGAGGAGAGACAACTGATGCTTGTAACTATACATTAGTTGGCGATGTGTTCAATGCTTCACAGTAATGCGGTACAGGGGAGCAAGTGCTTATCCCAAGGATGCATTTGTATCCATCAGATGCCGATGTACCCTTCACTTTCAGAAGATCCCCATTCCCATTCGCACCTTGTTTTGCTATGACAATTAATAAGGCCCAAGGACAAACACTGCTGGGATTCGTTCGTGGATGGGGACGCTGAATATGTGCCAAGGGCCCTCTATGCTGCTAATGACGCGCCCGGCAAAGAAGTCCTGGATTTCGTCTATGGAACCTTCCTGCTTATTACCAAACATTGCAGCATCAGTCCTTTGTTGATGTACTTGCATACATACTTGATGGAGCGAACTGATGGCAATATTCGACATTGATGTGCGCATTGAACGCTTTTGTTAGCAGGGGAAAGTATGGCACTACCCATCTGTTTTGCACTTGGTGGCCCTTTACCACGGCTGTAAATCCTCCCTCAGCGGGACTCCTTCGCCGGTAGAGTGGATAACCATCGCTCCCTTTAATGGTTTCACTCACGAAATCTCGTGGGTACTGTCGGGTGCATTTTCCGTCGCTGTTGTGACCGCTGGTGTAATTGTAATGCGACCCGCAGAGACCATGAATCATGTTGGTTGCCACTATTTCGTACAATTCAGGGTTAGCCGACGGATCGGGAATTTCAGCAGAAATAAGAGGATCGATTTCTGTGGTCTCAATCTTGTCGCACAGCCAAATTAGTATATGTGCGTGAAGCAGGCCGCGTTTCTGCACAATAGTGTGCATGCGACAGCAAACAGCCCCCAAAACATGGCCATTTGTGATCACATCCATTAGCTTTCCCAACTTCAGATGGTAAATGCGCGCAATCGTAGGCCAATTTCCCTGGCATAAGTTCTTTAGTAATTGCGTACCATTTTGGGTTACACGTGAAAGTTATGAATAGGTCTGTTCGGCCGTACTTACGAATGTATGTCATCGCGTCTTGCGTCCTCGCGTGCATGTATCGTGGACTGCTTGTGAACGTTGCACGTATTATGCACATCTTGCTTATATTGCGTGGATCAGCGTCATTTCGTAAAGCATCACGGGGGTGAATGTAAGAGTAGCAGCGCAACTTGATCTGATTCAATCTGATGTAACAGAGTCTTTCGGATTCAATCTTAGCAGCCATGTCTACTATGAATTGATGGAAATGTTGCCGGCTTCGATGAAGATGATTGAATGCACCCTCATGTACCATCAATAGGTAGGCGTAGAAAACTCTGCAAGACACAGTTTTTAAGGTGAACCCATTTTGCAGAATGCCAAAATGGTACCCATCTTCTCCGTAAGGGCAGAGAAGCGGGTATTGCAGTGCATCGTAGAACCGATGCGTTTCACTGATTCTTCGGGGCGCACTGCCGCGCGATTCGATAACAATGTCACGTCTGTTCTGCTGATCACCGCTGACAATAACGGAAACTTCGTTACTTGCGGGAGCATTGTAACGACGTTCGTGCTCTCCCTGATGCTGTTTGTCAGCATCACTTACAATAATGAAATCAGAAGAAGTGTTATTTTAGAGAGCCTACTTAAAACTGTGGACATAGCTGTTTGTCTCGTGGAGCATTTGTAGGCCATTCTACAGGTCTAGCAGCAGAAGTTGAAATTGCATCGCGTTGCCGTCTTGTGCGCTTTTGCGCGGAACTTTCCTACGCCCTTGCAGCAGAAGTTGCAGCGGCGCCGGCTGCATGGCGTGCGGTTTTCTCAGCCATGGATTCCTGGGACCATCGAATGGAAGTTGCAGCGGCGTTGGCTGCATTGCAAGTAGCTTTTCGATGCAGGCTCTGTCATGTGTGATGAAGCCGTTTTTTTTTTGTTGTTGTCTTGCAAGCGTTTAGGTAGTTTCCTCTTACTTTTCAACGATATGTGTAAACTGATTTGCAGTACAAACGGTTACGCGTTTCATGTGACAAAACATACTGCCTCCGTTGACTGGAATAGGTAACTTGCGGTAGCAGGAAGCTCTCAATTACTCCAAGGAGAGATGCGTTAATGGCGATCAAATCAAGACGTAAGTGCGGATGCAGCCGCGCTGAAAGTATTTAAAGGGAGCGTGACTTGTCATTGATTGATGTAGCCTGGACAATGGCCACGATTTAGACTAATGAATGAGTTCACGCAAAATGGAAGATGCTAGCGCGCATTCACGCACGCGCGCATGATTTGGCAAGCGCAAATCATGGCCGGAAACGGAGTCAAGCTGCCTGCTGCATATGCAGCTTGGCTCTAACGCACGTGATGCCGGCGATGGGAATGCAATGAAGCGTTTGCTCGTTTGGTTTGTGCGACAACGAAAAGCCGCTAACCGTTTGCCGGCATTAGGGAGGAAGCCCAGCTGTTTTAGTGCAAAAACTCATCGTCAGATCAGCGATGCAGCCTGGGCTAAGGGAAAAGGTTTAAAGAATTGGAAAATGGACTGCTGAGGGCGGAACCATTTTCACTCAGCACGTATGCTGGTTTTTTTTATAAAAAAATACGCGAATAAAGGAAGTACTTATTGTGGGAAGATGCGACGATTAAAACAAAAGTGTTTACAAAGTCGAATATGTCATTTTGGCTCAAAGTCAGACCTGATAGCAGGGATAAAAAAGCCGAATTTCAATGGCCCTGCACCCATTCCAGAATTTGAGGTCAAATGTTTTCTTCCACTCCACTGCACGCACCAACCTGTTTCTTCCGCGCATAGCCTGACCTTAAATTAATCTGCATTTAGGAAATACCCAACCGGAAAAACATTTTTAAGAGTTGACCGATTGTCGATTTGCACTCTGTTTTGGGGGCGCTCAGAGTTGAAACTTCCCAATGGCATCCTCATAAATCCAGTCGGTTTTCGCTAAAAACCGACATGCGGTTCAGGCACAATCTGGGCGTATCGGTTTTTGGATTTTATCGATTTCCGCGCTGTTTAGGGGTCCGTGGTCATGAAACTTCTGGACAACACTTCTAATGATAGACTCTAAGAGGGTGTCAAATTTGGTTGAAATGCGATCATTCCTTCTGTAAGCAGATTTTTTCGATTATCGATTTTTTCGGAACCTGAGTACAAACTGAAAAATCGGGCTCCGTCATGTCTTTACGGCAGCCATTTGTAAACTTGTGGAGAAAACCGCATCGAAATTGGGTTAGAAATGCGGCCTGGGCGAGGCAACAACGCCCACGACTGACACACAGACAGACAACATGAGATAGATAGATAGATAGATAGATAGATAGATAGATAGATAGATAGATAGATAGATACAATATTCAGACAAGAATACAACAGGCACCCGAAGAAAGCCGAAGAGTACAACGGCCGAAATATTGTGAGTATAACGACTAAGATAATCATGCCAGTTAAAATAGCAAAGCATATAATAATGATAATTCCTCAAATCAGATATTTATACAAAAATACAACAGACGCTTAAAAATGGCCGGAGGATAAAACATTTTAATCGTTGTGAGTAGAACAACCAAGATAGAAATGTTGGGTCCGAATAGTAAAACCTATAACGGTAATATCTCACTTAAAATATTCAGAAAAAAAAATACAAGACTACTCAAGATGAGTGGAGGATACAATTGCTCAAATAAACATAACAATAAGGATGAATATGCTGATTTGAATAGCAAAACAAGTAATAATGATAATTCACTCTCTAAAAAATTCCGATTGGAATTTCCCAATATATGTAGTATTAGTTCCAATATATGTATGTATTAGATTTATTGCATGTTTTAAAAATATACTTCAAGTGAATATGTTTGTTATTTTGTTTTCGCTAGGTTAACGTTATCACTCGTTCAGGAAAAATGTTAAAATGGTCCGAGAAAGGTGAAGTGGGAAGAAACTGGATGAAAGGCTGCGTCAATCTTCCAGTTAATGAGACAACGACTGTTGTCTTTACTGGAATCCGAGGTAATGGTCCATTAGGTGACATGGCAATCGACGATGTTGGTGTTGTACCTGGCGTCTGTTACGGTGAGTTCCCTCGTTTAATGCAAATTCATATTATAATTAGATAGAAACCGACAGTACTCTGGAAGAGAAAATTTGAAAACTTAACAGGTTACTAATATGATGGCTTTTTTGCCTGTTTTTCTAAAAGTAATTCCTGTATCATAAATCGACGAAATTTTGCTTAAAAATAAAGAAAATGGTCTTATTTCCTTTCAATTTCAAAATAGGTCACCTCTAAATAAACGAAAAAAGAATGTACATAAACTTACAATTACGGATCATAGGTAGTTGCACAGAGGGTGCTCCACACTTTCGACCTTTTGCCACATCTAAGCTACATTTAGTAAATCGCTATGAAGAACTGATGACGGTCATTTCATCGTGGTGTAATGGCTAACATGATTGTCTCGCTAGATCAGTTACGACTTTATAGTGAGATCGTATCTCACTAAGGCTCACTACTTACGGCCTTGTGCCACATCTACCATACACTTAGTAAATTACTATGAAGGACTGAAGAATAAAAGAGATTTTTGGTAAATCAGGATGGAGAGATGACATGAAGTATTTGTATTATTTATCACGGGTGCTTAGATTCTTTGAAGTAAAAGACCTTTTCTTTTGATTAAATTTCAGAAAATTACTAATGCGAGATGGAATGCAAAAGCCATTCTTGCTATCCTTGTATTCATTCTTTTCCCCACAACAAGAAAGACATTGGAGAGTTTAATTTTAACTTTTTGTGAATTTTAAATGTCCAAGTAGCATTAATATTTTGGGTCCATTTTGGGGGCTGTTTGACGTTGTGTAATCGTTAGCGAGCTAGACCAATTACGACTGAATAATGAGTTCGATCCTCACTGGATGACCTGTACTTTCGGCCTTGTGCTACATCTAAGCTACACTTGGAAAATCAACATAGGCAGTCACACTATCAGCTGGCGATTAAGTACCCTCTACCCTTCTACAGATTGTAATGAGCAGCAGGTAGCTGTCATCCCTGTGAACCGTGATAGACTCTACCTATTAAATATCTTTTTGAAGGCCTGAAGACGTGAACTTCGATGTATTAATGTTTAATAGTCAACAAGTTTGTCTTGTTCGATCAATTACGACTGAGTAGTGAGCTCAATCCACACTGGGTGCTCCATAACTTCTCGCTATGCGTGTATTCATTCTTTTACCCCCAACAAGAAAGACATCGGAGAAAGTATCCAGATTTATTTCATATAACTGGGCAGAGGATTGTTTTAATAATCAGATATGCAATAAAAATGACATTAAGAACTTTACAAAAAAGCATTATACCGATTTGAAAATCACTGGAAGTAGAAGCCTAGTCAAGATACCAAGATGTAATCAGTGCACAGGACGTGCACTAAAAGTGATGCAGGAACTGCATGCTGTCTGCAAAAACAAAAATAAACTGCAATTTTTATTTATACTAAGCAATAAGCAATGATGTTAAACCATTATGACATTTTGGGAACTAATTAGTTGTTTGGATTATGAAATATGCGTATTATAACATTTCGGAGATATTTAGTTGTCTGCATTATGAAATATGCGTATTATAGCATTTAGGAACTATTTGGTTGTTTGCATTATGAAATATGCGTATTATGACATTTCGAAACTAACTGTTTGAATTATGAAATGTGAGTATTAAATATGCATGTGCAAAAATAGATTTTTTGGCATAGGGATGTTATTTTCGAACAATTTGTTTTTAGGCACAAGTTCATCGAATTATGATACAGAAACACGAGGTTGTAAAAACGTTATAACCTTAAGTGATACATCAGATGTGAGATCAAATCATTATTGCAATTAACTTTCGAAATTAAGATATAAGAATATTGCTCTAGAGGTTTATGGGTGTTGATGGAATCATAAATCGAAATTTGTTACATTCAGGTGAATGAAAGTTATCCTCGTACTAATTAACGAACTGTAACTTGTTTTATTGATCACTGAAAGGAATCAAGCTTTCAGTTCCAGACACTTTGAAATTGTAATTAGATTTTTATTATTTTATCCACAGATGACATTTAGCGATACTATGGCTTATGCAGTGTCACACGTCCTCACAGTTTTTATTTTATGCGTGTGTGTGTGTGTGTGTGTGTGTGCATTTTCACAGTCCTCAATTGTATTCTGATGACTTCGTTTGCCCAGTAATCAGCCTAACTTCTGCCTATTGATTTGGGTGAAAATGATTAAAATCCTTTTTGTGACTGACCACTGTGGTTTTGTGTGTACAATATTCAGGACACTATTAAATTCATTATAAACAAGTTTGTATTCTCTAATTTTGTTTGTTTAATTTTATCCAACATTTGTATTAAACGAACAGAATTAGTTCCTTTTTTAGAAACACGAATACCTGGTTACTGTTGAATATGTTCATAGCCATTATTAAGTGTTTGTCGACTCGGGATATCACTTTATATTCTAGTTTTTTGCAATCATTTCACCCCAAGCAAGGCGATAATGCCACGAAGACGCAAAGTGGTTATTGAGAGTGAAAGAAAACGAGAAAAGTAAGGAGAATGGACAAGAAAAAAATTCTGGGAGGCAGAAGATGGCGATTGGGGTTGAATTTAAATTTATTGCATTTAAATATGACATTTGTTACTTGGCTCATGTATGCTATATTCAACACTCCGACTCCAGAGTTTCGTAGAAGAACCTTTTTGTAATCGTTCGGTCCACTCGTCAGGAGCTTTCAGCAATTGATTATTAATTTTCATTATTTTTATATTAAGTTAAAAAAAACAATGTTTGCGTTATTTATTGTTGTTATGTTGGATTTTTTTTATGACATCAGCAAAATTTTCTAAACCACTGCCACTGGTGGACTACATAGACAGCATATTACCCCCCTTTAAAAAGTGTCCAACATATTTACGTGTATGTGAATGCCGTGTGTAGTGTGTCAATGTGTGTGTGTGTGTTGTGTGTGTGTGTGTGTGTGTGTGTGTGTGTTATATCGTATTTTCATGAATTATATATTACATCTATTCAATCTACTGTACATTAATTTTTCTTTGGTTAACTTTTGCGAAATTAAGCTTAAAACTTTTTTTTCTCCCATTCTTTTTTTTTTTTGAAATCATAAAATACTTGTTTTAAATTTCAGAACGAGGCATTCCTTGTGAGTTTACTGATGAAATGATATGTGGCTACCGGAATGTCTCCCAGGGCCAAAGGGGCTGGATTAGACAGAAGTCTAGTTCAGGTAAAATATATCTGATTGTTTTCATATGCAATCCATGATTATATTGAGAAGATAAAATACTGCATTGATTCAACACAACTTTTCAAAGGGAATATGTCAATTTTTAACACTAATACAAAGTGTATATTTAAAATATGAGGTTATACGAAACGCCTTCAAAAGCTTTATGGAAAAAGAAAACACGAGAAAAGAAAAATATGAAAATATTTTGATATTCATGTTATTCTCAGGAGCAGCAATTCATCTTGGATTGCATAAATCGCTGGTATCATTTGCTTACAGAAATACCTTGACGTTGGTGAAGCTTAGTAAAAATTAAATACTACTACTATTACTAACAATAATAATAGCACTAATAATAACAATAAGAAAAATAATTTAACAAAATAAAATAATTTTCCATGATTTTTCATAATTTTTCAGGTAACAAGAACTTTGATAAAAATTAACTACTATTACTACGACTACTTATGATAATAATAAAATACTTTTTCATGTAAAACAAAAAACTTTTTGATGGAAGATTAAATATTAAATACTAGATATTAAATATTACTACTACTACTACTACTACTAATAATAGTAATAATAATAGTAAATTACTTTCTCATGTACCAGAAGGAAATTGAGCAAAAATTATTATAAATTATTTATTGGTATAGCTATTACTACTACTACTACTAGTAATAATAATAATAATAAAGAATTAATTTTTGATAGAACAGAAGAAAACGAACCGAAAATTATTAAAAATGAAATGTTAATACTACTAGCACTACTACTACTATTAACAACAACACCAATAATAATAATAAAGATAAAATACTTTTTCATGGAACAGAAGGACACTGAACAAAAATTATAAAAATGAAATACAATTACTTCCACTACTAATACTACTATTAGAGATTATCACTTTTTCACATAAATGTTATTTTTATTTTATATATTTATTAATAATGAATGTAAAACTTTTTTTTAAATTCCTTTTACCCAAATCATTAGTTATTGTAATAGACAATATTTTACAGAAGTCAGAAAGACTGATGGATGCCAAAAAAGTGGTTCTGTGCGATAAAATCCAAATAATATTACTATAACCCCAACAGAAAAAGTGAATTGTTTACACTATTTACATCATTCTGATTGTTGTACCCACCTGTATTGCCATATTCACGAAGTTTCGGCTTTTTTTTTTACGTCCAGGCCTTCTTCAGGTGATATTTAAAATCGAACACCTTATTTAGTCAACGTGGGTAGATTGTTCTAATTCAAATGCCTGTTTTGAGGATTTCCCAGTTTCTGTTAATTCCACCTTTGTAACTCAACTCTCTACGTGTTTGCTTCCCTCTGCTGTAGCCAGGTATTGAACTCAAAACGCTTTGGATCAAATCACTTTTTTTATTTTTGGATTACTTCAACTAACGCTTTTAGCCACTGGGCCATGTGTCCTCGAATGATATCTCAGAAATATAGACAGATGAAAAGGGCGTTGTTTTCGAAAAAATAGAACTTATTCGGAGGTTTTTTGTGTAGTAGAATACCCCCCCCCCACCCGGAAAAACTCTGCGTTAATGGAGATTTTATTATTAGCTCAATTATTTTTGAAACCCACTGCTTCTTTGATAAGAAGAAGACATCGTCTTCTCAGACAGAAGCATCAAACATCGATGGGGAATAGGTAGCACTTGGAACTCGAATAGAAAATAATGACATAATCAAGATGTTGACATTCCACACTACCTCGAACAAAAGGTTAAGAAGGAAACTCCCATCAATACTTTGATGGGAAGAAGATGCCAAACTTTTAGACAGAAGCGTCAAACATTCATAGAGAATGGGTAGCACATGAAACTCGAAGAGAAAATAAATGACATAATCAAAATGTTGAAATTCCACACTACCAATAATATTGCTGATTCGTCTTTGGATTCTATCAAGAATCTCTGAATATATTGAAGGAGTACTGGACCAGATCTAATTTCCTTTGTCGTTTGTTTTCATTATTAAATGATTCTTGTTACATTATTTTAAGTTGTATTAAATGATTCATTTTATTATAATTGTATTAAAGAGAATATTATGTTAAAAATACATTTTCTTTTTCAGGTTATTCTATGGTTGTCTCTTCAAGGAACTCAGGCCGTGGAAGATTTGGATTAATTTCCCCTTTAGAAAATTTGACAAATACTTGCATACAAATTTCTTACAGAATAATAGGAAACGATTGTCGTCTGGAGGTGTCGACTTTACACAAGAATAAGAAGTCTATGGTTCTTCGATCTTTGAACGACACAGCTCTTCACAAAATGCAGCTTTATGTTAAACAGGCCATGACTCGACTCATTCTTGAAAAAGAACATGGAATAAAAGGTATTCTTCATGTTCTGTTGAAATCGAAAAATCGAGCTTCACAATGGCACCTGCCCGGCTTTAGATAAACCATTTTATTTGTGTATAGTGATTGTAATAATTTATAAACGAAAGTGCGAGATTTCATTTTTAATTCGATCTTATTTCTAATTACACAAAACGTTATATTTTTAGTCGATACACATGTTTCAGTGAAAGGCGTTGTGTTTTAAACAATATGAATTACATTTAAAACTTCTCAAAGCTATAAAATATACATCAAACTACAGATCAAGACAAAATAATTTAAATATTAAAAAATACATTTAAAATTCAAATACTTAAGTTTTGTTGTTGAAGTGGCAGAAATTACTTTATTTGTGAATTCTAAAGCGATTTTAATTTCCGTAAATCATTTCACCCCATGCAAGGCAGTAAAGCCCCTTGGAGACAAAGGGGTTACTAAGTAAGAGAGAATATGAAATTACTTTATTTGTGAATTCTAAAGCAATTTTAATTTTTTTTATATTTCTTTAAATCATTTCACCATAAACAAGGCAATAAAGCCACTAGGAGTAAGAGAGAATATGAAAAACAAAAAAATTCAACACCGAGAAGGTTATATTGGAAAAAATGTAAATTATTTACTTTTTATTCTCTTTTACGTGTCAAAAATAATTTTTACTTTTTATCCAAATTCCTCCAAAACACTAAGAAAAAAAAGAAAAGAAAAGAAAAACGCACACATCCTCGCAATAAATATATATGTATTTTTCTTGACAAAATTTCCAGCGTTCAACTGTAGTTTTTTTAACTAAACCATTTTATTTTATAATTTTTTTACCAGTAATTAAATGTTTCTTATTAATTCGATCTTATCAATCAGATCATTATCCATTTTTAAAGAGGTGCCTTTTCTAAAATTAATCAATGTGACACCTCTCGCTCTTTAAAAAATAGTATTTAATAATAATAATATTCTATCATATTACAACTATTAAATGTCCAATGAGTAACCTTTTCATTATCGAATGCCACGCTATATCAGTAACTTGTTTTTGCTAAGTAAAATCTCATAAAATATTTTTTCATTAAACACACTTTCCTTTCATTTATTTTCAGTTTGTCGAAACAACACTAAGAGAGTTATGAAAAAAAAGTCAATGCCAAGAAACAATTCCAATTTCTGTAACCGGTATCAAGAATTCATTTCAACAGCGAAATATTTTTTTTACTTTTTCGTAAATTCTCCAAAACTACATATAAAACGAATATGCGATCAAAATAAAAAGAATAGTCCATTATTTATGAAATTGCCAGGGCGTTTCTTTATTTCTTTCATTTTCTCAGTGAAACCAAGTAATTTAACTTTGATATGTTTTTTTTTGTCCGACATTCCCTCAAAATCAAACTGTTACAAATGTTTGAGAATAGTCCATTATTTAATAGGCATTGCCAGGGCGTTTCTTAATTTCTTTCATTTTTTCAAAATGAAACCAAATAATGTGTTTGATATGTTTTTGTCCGATCATTCCACGACTATTAAAATCCAAATAATCCATTATTTTTTAGCTATTAAATAAAAATAAATACGTGCTAATTCTAGAAATGAATGGACACGTAGAATTATAAGATACTACGTCACAAAAATCTATTTGAACTGCCAGAAAAAACTAGGGTTATTTGGAATGAATGTTAGAATAATCCATAACTTGGAGCAAACCGCCTGTCTACGGATGGAAAATGGATTGAGTAGATACGGCAAAATAGAAAAGAGCGTGAGACAAGGATGTGTCTTCTCTCCAGATTTATTAAATCTCTATAGCAATGCTATCGTCAGGGAACTGGAGAACTTAATGGGATTTATTATCAGTTAACGTAATCTTAGCAATATAAGATACGCAGATAACACCGGATTTATGGTTGATACTCAAATAAAAATTAAGATCGTAAAAAAGATCTTTTCATAAATACACTTTCCACCAACTTGCATTACAGAGAAAATGGTTAACGATCTAAGTAATGAAAAAAATTCAAGATGCAAACGACAAAATGGATTGATAACAACATGAAACAAGTGTCGTAAGAATTTTAAATATCTGGGAACCCCGGAGACGAATTCGATTTAGCAATTCAGAAAGCAAAGCAGAATACTAAGAAACAGAAAGAAAATCATTACAAAGAAAAGAGTGCTAAATTGATATGTGATGTCCATCTTCTTATATGGCAGTGAATGTTGGAAATCTCTGCACACATAAACTGGAGGCAACAGAAAAGCTGTTCTACAGAAGGGTACTGAGCATTCCCTGGACAGAAGGAGTAAGTAACTAGAAAAATGGTAACGAAAAGAATACTAATACTCAGAATCAGATAGATACAATTGAAATTTCTTGGACACATAATGATGAAGGAGGGATTGGAAAATTTAACACTCACAGGGCATATCAAGTGCAAGAGACCTAGCGAGTAACCTACATGATGTGCTTGTGTGAATGGATGGCGGAATGGGGGTGGACATTTGGCTTCAAAAAGGGAGAAAAACTGCTAAGGACTAAAAGTGATAGGAAGTCGTGAAGAGCCATGATCGCCCACGTCGAGAAGGGACACGGCATATAGAAGAATATAGAGTGTTTTATTAATTTGGAAAATTTAGAATTAACAGATTGTTTTTTCACATTAATACTGGACAAGAAGAGACTTGAAGAAACAGAAACAAAAGAAAAGAGTACTGAACTGTTACGTAATATCAGTCCTCCTATAAAGCAGTGTATGCTGGACAATCTCCTCACAGATGAAGAAGAGAACTTATAAGATACGCAGAAACAAAAGAAAAATGGGATACTGAAATGTTAACTACAATATCAGTCCTCCTATATGGCAGTGAATGCTGGACAATCTCATCACAGATGAAGAAGAGATCTTAGAAAAACAAGATGAAACGAAAAATGAGTACTGAACTGTTACGTAATATCAGTCCTCCTATATGGCAGTGAATGCTGGACAATCTCCTTAGATGAAAGAAGAATACTTGAAACAACAGAAACAAACAAAAAGGGTCCTGAACTGTTATGCAATATCAGTCCTCCTATATGGCAGTGAATGCTGGACAATCTCATCACAGATGAAGAAGAGACTTGAAGCAACAGAAAGAAAGAAAAGAGTACTGAACTGTTACGTAATATCAGTCCTCCTATATGGCAGTGAATGCTGGACAATCTCCTCACAGATGAAGAAGAGACTTGAATCAACAGAAACAAAGAAAAGGGTACTGAAATGTTATGCAATATCAGTCCTCCTATATGGCAGTGAATGCTGGACAATCTCATCACAGATGAAGAAGAGACTTGAAGCAACAGAAAGAAAGAAAAGAGTACTGAACTGTTACGTAATATCAGTCCTCCTATATGGCAGTGAATGCTGGACAATCTCCTCAGATGAAGAAGAGACTTGAAGCAACAGAAAGAAAGAAAAGAGTACTGAACTGTTACGTAATATCAGTCCACCTATATGGCAGTGAATGCTGGACAATCTCCTCACAGATGATGAAGAGACTTGAAGCAACAGAAACAAAAAAAAGAGTACTGAACTGTTACGTAATATCAGTCCTCCTATATGGCAGTGAATGCTGGACAATCTCCTCACAGATGATGAAGAGACTTGAAGCAACAGAAACAAAAAAAAGAGTACTGAACTGTTACGTAATATCAGTCCTCCTATATGGCAGTGAATGCTGGACAATCTCCTCACAGATGAAGAAGAGACTTGAATCAACAGAAACAAAGAAAAGGGTACTGAAATGTTATGCAATATCAGTCCTCCTATATGGCAGTGAATGCTGGACAATCTCATCACAGATGAAGAAGAGACTTGAAGCAACAGAAAGAAAGAAAAGAGTACTGAACTGTTACGTAATATCAGTCCTCCTATATGGCAGTGAATGCTGGACAATCTCCTCACAGATGATGAAGAGACTTGAAGCAACAGAAACAAAGAAAAGAGTACTGAACTGTTACCTAATATCAGTCCTCCTATATGGCAGTGAATGCTGGACAATTTCCTTACAGATAAACTGTGGGCAACAGAAATGTTGTTCTACAGAAGGATACTGAGTATTCCATGGACAGAACGAATAAGCAACTAGGAAATCTTAAAGAAAATGATAACGAAAAGAGCACTAATACTCACAATCAGACAGAGACGGTTGAATTTTTTTTGGAAACAATGATGATGAAGACTTAGAAAATTTAACACTCACAGGGTATATCAAGTGTAAAGTAGCTAGGAGGAGGTAGTGAGTCACCAACATGATGAGCTTGTGTGAATGTTGATCGGAATGCGGGTGGACATTTGGCTTTACAAAGGGATAAAAATTGCTATGTGTCAAAAGTGATAGAAAGTCGTGAAGAGCCATGATCGCAACACGTCGAGAAGGGACACGGCATATAGACGTATACAGAGTGTTTTTATTAATTTGGAAAATTTAGAATTAACATTTTTTTTTCACATTAATTCTACGTTAATTTTTCTTTTTCTCTTTGCGAATTTCAGCACGATCCATATCTTGTAATTTTGAACACCTGTATCTCTGTGGCTATAACTTTACGCATGGATGGTACCACACCCAGCTGGAAAAATTTGTAAATCCGGACCTGATTTTGAACATTTCAGGTAAATATTAATAATACGAAACGACTTATTTCCATTTTAATGTCTGCCTTTACCATTTAGCCCTTAAACAAGATTGCATGAACTTGTGTGCCAAACGGTTTGTAAAAAAACAAAAAAACAAAAAAACATGAAAATTCATTTTTAAAAGGTAGATTTTATGTCTATTATCGCTTCAATTATATACAAAAAAAATCCGGTTCTATTTTTTTATATAACCGAATGAAAGTAATTTATTAAGGATTAAAACCTTAATTAGTGATTTTTTAAAAATTATTTTTAACAAAATAAATAGTAAAGAAATTTATTTTTTAATAAAGTAAAAATGTTCACTAATTAAGGTTTTAATTATTAATAAATAACTTTTATTCTGTTTAAGTTATTTTTTCTGTTACTGAGTTTTCTCGGTGCTCAGTCGGCGGTGTTGAGTCGGCGGTGTTGAGTTGTCCCTTCCAGAACTTCATGGGTTCTAGAATTGTCAGTCATTTTGACTCGAATCGTTAACTAATTATGCCTGTATCGTTGGGAAATGTTCAAACCATAAATTGGTGATATCTGTTTATTTTCAATGAAACAGTAATTGAAAATGTCCAAAGTTTAAAGCTTAAGTGGCTGAAAAAGTGTATTGCAGTCATAGATATCAGACTTAAGTAGGCTGAAAATACGCAGCATTACAAATCACAAGCTGATATACAAAGTGAAAATAACCATCCTTAGAAATGGAACCATCCATACGAAATCTTTGAAACAATTTGGAAGCTTTAAAAGATATAGTGCAGGGCTCGCTAAATTGTGTCCTGAGTGGATGATGCCTGGAAAAAGAAGTAAGCAACAACCAAAAACAGAACTGGTGGGAGAACATAATTCTGTGATCACCAACTAATGAAAGGAGTAGACATTTATATAAGCTTCTTGGAGATGGTAAGACATGGCGGGAAATAACTCATATTAGATCGCAATCTGTCACAGGCGGTAACAACGATTAATGAATAATAAATTATATCTTTTTTAATGGCGTATTCATAGTCTTGATTTTATGGCATAGATTCAAAAGCTTTCGGCTCAAATGGAAACATTCAAAAATATAGACAAAGAGAAAATAACCACTCTTAAAAATGTAACCAATTTGCGCCCAATTTTCGATAGCCTCACTAGAAAATCCTTGAAAATCTTTAGACACATTAAAATATCTGGTTTAGGTTTTGCTAAATTATGTTTTGAGGGGATTGTCATTCTAACCAATTTGATTTGACTCTACGATATGTGATGACAAGTGGGCCCCTCTATCCAATAGAAATACAATAAAGAAACAGACTGATTTAGTAATAAAAAGGAACAAGAATTTCATAAAGTTATCTGCGCGCTGTCAGTTACTCAAGTCCAATGAACGGAGATTTTCGAAGCTACAGGACATAAAAAAGGTTAAGAAATTCACTGAGGAGAATTTGAAATCATATACATTATTTATTGATAATATTAGAAGAATTGGATACAGAAACATTTATTTACAAATTCGCAGAAACTTCGAATGAACACAAACGATTGCTCTTAATATATTAAACTGCAAGCATTGTTCTATTGTACTTTTGAACTGTTAATGTGTAAATTGTACAGTAAACTAATTAAAATATGAAACAATTATTTCAAATTAAAAAAAAATCACTTACGACATTTTGTATTTACAAGTGGTATCTAGCGCCAGTAATATGTACAGTACATATACACTGTAATTATTAAGAAATACACGTTTTCCACAATTTTCTTTGTAATTTTTTTCCATATGTGCTATTTAAAGTTGATTTATTCGTTATGAAAATTAAATGATAGCATTGGAATTGTGGGTTGGCTCCATTTGTCACTTGGCAACCAGGCTTACGGTCATATGACGTTGAACCACCGGTTGTACAATCACCGAAGTTAAGCAACGCCAGGCTTCGTCAGTGTCTAGATGGGGAGCTGCTTGGGAACAATAGATTCTATAAGCTTGGATATGCTGCTGGTGTAATGGATAATGGCTCAGAATTGGCAATCAGAGAGCCGAGTTCGAATTCCATTCGGGTTCATTACATTCACTTACGCGCAAAATCCTTTTGGGGAAGGCACGAATCCACTCTTTCTTCCCTCCGCAGTTATCGGTTAATTAGTAGGAAATGTATCAGTAAATAATTATTATCTTCAAACAATTCTTAATCGAAAAAAATATTTCCTGGCTTTAAATAACACGTAAAGGACTGATAAGCTGTAAAAATAATCAATCATCATCATCCTGGCAAACAATGTTTTTAAACCCAGTCCGCCATTGACAGGATGATACATTCGCCATTACAATTGTTTATCCAAAACGGAAATTATTTATGACTCAAACTAATATCTGGTCAAATAAAATATTATAATATATAATTTTTGCGTTAAATGATTAATTTCTTTCAATTATTTGCTTGCAGCTTATTCAATGTCATTAAACAGTGGCAAAGCAAGTATCATGTCTCCGAATGAAACAATTGGAGACTCTTGTCTACAGTTCCACTATGCTGGTGGAAGTGATTCTAGTCTGGAAGTGATAGCTCATTATAGCGATGGCAGAAATTTATCAAAATGGAGTCTTACTTTTACTTCCCAAACTAAATGGACACTCGGACAATTCCAACTGGCTGCAGGCAACGTATACTTAGAATTTGTTGGCAAAGCCAGCCATTTGGGATTATTGATAGACAATGTCAACCTTCAGAACGGGACCTGTGGCAAAATTGGTGAGTACATTAAATTCATTTTGCATAAGTTTTAAACGGAATCGTTTTCACCCACTATTTGGTGCGAAAATCTTGTCTTAATATTTCAGACTATTCTTATATTCTTTATGTAACTTAAAAATGATTAAATATAAGAATTAAAGACAAGTTTTTATAAAAAAAACCTGGAACTTAAAACCACGTTTTATCTGTGTTAAAATTGTGCCTTTAAAAACAAGGCCGCTGTAAACTGAATTTTATTTTTTATTCTCTCTGGTCGAAAGTATGTTTTACGAAATTGAAGAACTTATCAATTGACCCTCATGATTTTGAAAAGAAATAAGCCTCCTTCATTTTGACGTCAATTTTACTGATCTATCCCGTCCATATCAGATTTTATAAAATTATAGAATTCATTTAAAAACAAATGCATGTATTCAGTTTATTGAGACGTTGAAAACTACTTAACAACAACAATAAGAAAATCTAAAACTTTAACTTCTTCCTCATTTCAGATTGTCCTAATGATATGTTCACATGTGTTAGTAACGAGAAATGCGTCGTTTCACAAGGCTGGTGTAACAGAATCAGTGAGTGTAATGATAGCAGCGATGAAGTGAATTGCCGTAAGTACTGCCGTTTGTTTTATCGGCTTTTTTTTTTTATTGAACTCCACCAAACAAAAGCAAATGATTTAAAACAAAATTTTGTTTTCTGACCCAATTTTTCTTAAGGATGTGAAAAAAAGTACCTAAATTTCTAGTTATTGTCGGGTTATTATAGGTATTTTTCAAATTAACCTGCCATTTACAATGACGTCAGTATTGAAATCATTTTGAAATAACATTGTACTTATAAGATCCCACACATTTTAAAAAGATTTTCTTGTTAGTTAAGCTCAACAATTAACATTCTAGTCGTCATATCATAAATATCATTTCTATGCCACCAGAAAATAAGGATTCGAAGACTTAGGCATTCGTAACTGCAAAGAACCGTGTGTTAAAAGGACGTTTTTCCTTTGACTCCGCTATTATTTTAATGATTAAAATGGTAATAAAACCCAAGTATATGATGAAAATGAATTGAAAGTAAAAGTATGCAATAAAATCGGACACGAGTTCTATGGAAAAAATAATAATGTTAATATTTAGGTAATACTGCAATTACATTGTACTATTACATAAATATTACCATAAAATGTACGTACTAGTATAAAATATTACCATCAAATTAACATATTGCCATCAAATTACGACGTTACCAACAAATATTACCAACAAAAAACCATATTAGAATCAAATGATCATTTTATTACCATCAAATACTAACCTTCAAATTACCAAATTACCATCGAATGATTACCAAATACATTTATAAAATTATTGCATTTTCATCTGAGTGTTTAATATTCTGTGGGTATTAAACTAAATAATTATCATTCTGTTCACTATTGAACAATTGGGATTATCTGTCACCGGAAGAATAATACACGTAATTTGGGGTGTTAAAAAGGGATAATGGCTTTCAACCAAAGTGGATAATTTTTTTAGTGACAATAAAATTGTGGGTTACCCAAACAGTTCAGTACTTTTTCTTTGGCTTTGCAAGTCAAAAATTGAATCGCTGCCATATAGGGGACTGATATTACGCTTCGTTAAATTTATAATAAGGAAAGGAGGACGATATTCTCTTCTCTCTTTTCATTGTTTCTGTTGCTTTCAAGTCTCTTCTTCTCTCTCTTTACTTCCTCTCTAACTCTCTTTATTTGTTTTCCTCTCTCTCTGAGATTGTCCAGCATTCACTCTCTCTCAGTTCAGTACACACACACACACACACATCACACATTCACACACATACAACAGTTCAGTACTCTTTTCTTTGTTTCAGACGTGTAGATTGTCCATAGGCCATATAGGAGGAACGGCCGCCTTTTCTTTTGTTTCTGTTGTTCAAGTCTTTTCTGTGAGGAGATTGTCCAGCATTCACTCCCATATAGGAGGACTGATCTGATTCAGATTTTTTAACTATCATGCACAAGTTGTTTTTCACACAGAATGTCCAACATTTACTGCCCTATAGGAGCATTCTTGTAACTTCAGTTTCAATGATTTTTTCTTTTCATTTCAGTTCTGTACACATGTCAATTCACTTTTATAGGAGGAATATATACAACAGTTCATATAATTCTTTTCTTCTTTTTATGTGCTGTAAGTCCCTACATGACCATATAGGAGATATTATGTTCAGTGCCTTTTTTTTTGTTTCCTTCTATCCTTCATCTGTGAGGAGATTGTCCAGGTCTTAATTAAAACAGTTCAGTTTGATCTTTTTTGTTTCTTTCTCCCAAATCCTTCATCTGCCATTGTCCAATTTGCCATATAGGAAGCCCATTAAATATTCAGTCACGCGTTGTTTCTTTCCCCAAGTCCCTCTTCCCCTGTGAGGAGAATTCCGTTTACTTATAGGAGGACTGATATATCAGATTTTTTTTCTTTGTTTCATGTCGCATAAATTTCAAGCATTTCCTGATATTAAGTGAAGTTTCCTCTTTGTTTTATTTATCCCAAAGGACCTCGTTGTTGCTCACTTTGTTTCTGGCGTCTTTCATCATTCATTGTCCAGCATCCTTCTGTAGAACCAGTATTTTTCTGTTTCTGCTTTGAGTCTCTTCTTCATCTTTGAGGAGATTGTCCAGCATTCACTCCCATATAGGAGGACTGATATTTCAGTAACAGTTCAGTAAGTCTCTTTTCATTGTTTCTGTTCAGCTTTTCAAGTCTTTTCTTCGTCTGTGGGGAGAATGTCCAACATTTACTGGAGGACCTTCATAGGAGGACTGATATTACTTCGTCTGTAACAGTTCAGGACTGATATTACGTAACAGTTTTCTCTGTTTCTAACGAAAATTTCCTGTCTTTTAATACTCTGCTTAGCTTTTGGAATGCATCTTTCGCCAACCCAATATGTCTTCGGATCTCAATGTCGTACTTTCCGTCCTCACTTAGAACACTTCCCAGATATTTAAATTTCTGTCCCTGCTTGATTTTATAAAGAAATTTGGATTTTCGGCTCATCTTTTTGCTGATGATCATGCATTCTGTCTTCACATACTTTTATGCTTAGTCCTTTCTTCTCGCCCACCTTCGCTACCTTCTGTAGGAGCTTTTGTCGTTTCCTTTCCTTGTGTGCTATCAGCACTGTGTCATTTGCATATCTTATAAGATTGTGGCTGCCAATGATGAATCCTGGAAGGATTTCTAGTTCTCTCATAATTGACTCGTTATATAGGTTGAATAAGTCCGGTGAGAAGACACATCCTTGCCTTACACCCCTTTCTATTTTTGTATATCTGCTGAAACTAATTTTTTATCCGTATGCAGGCGGTTTGCTGCCAGTTGAAGTTTTTGATTATTCTAATGTCTTTACCGAATATGTCAAAGTTGCAGAACAGCTCTAACAGATCTTTGTGGCGTACTTTGTCTCATGCTTTTGCATAGTTTATAACGCACAGGTACACGTTCTTCTGCATTTTTATTGCTCTTTCTGATAACATTCAGAGCATAAATATCGCGTTCCTTGTTTCGTTGTCTTTAACAAACTCGCATTGTTCTTGTCCTATCTCTGGTTTGATTTTGCTGCGTGTACTTATTCACCATAATTCGGATGATGAGTTTTGTTATGTGGCTCATTAGGCTGATTGTCCATTGGAGTACACATACATTTGCGCCTGGCTTCTTATGCAGTGCTATGAAAATAGATCTACTTAGGTCTTCCGGTATATCACCACTGTTGTAGATTTCATTTATTATTTCTGTAATCTTGTCTCTGCCGAAATCATCTAAGGCTGCCAACATCTCTATTAGAATTAAGTCTGGCCCTGCAACTTTGTTTCTGTTAAATTTGGCCATTGTAGCTTCCACTTTGGTTTTTAGTATTTCTGGCCTGTCGTTATTTCTGTATATTGCCGGCTGTTCTCTTTCGCCGTGGAAGAGATCTCCAATATATTCATCCTAGCGCTGAAGATTTTTTTCTTTCTCTAATACGAGCGTTCCGTCTTTGGATTTTATTCAGCCTATTGATGAGCATGTCTTCTGTCCTGATAGTTCCCATATTTTTTACTGTTTGTTTTTAATTAATTGGTTTTTAGATGTTTTTACCTGGACTCATATGAGTCCTCCGATATTTTTTGCGAGACAAATGTTCCAGGAGCCATAAATATTTACTATCGTACTCACTCATATCAAAAGTATTGATTCACACTAAAAGTGTTGACTTATCAAACACCTAACAACATAGAATCCTCCCCCACAACTTGAAACATATTCTCATATGTCGTAAAGATGATAATTTATTTTGTTGAAATATTATGCAGTTTCGTTAAGTTTCAGTTTAAATTTCTTAAGAATTGCAAAAAGATAAGCAAAGGACTTAATTTGTTTAAAAAGAAGAACCATTGATCAAATAAACTGTGTTTCTTTTTTTATTATTCCAGCTGTTTCCATTGCATGTGACGTTGAACATCCTTATCAATGTGGCTATGAGTATGATCCAGGTACATGGACAGTCGGAAGTGGAAGGCAAAACGTATACCCGGATCTAGATCATTCTCCCGGTCTCTATTCAGGTAAATATATAGAAATTAAGAATCTGTCTATCTTAGCCTGTTCATATCTATCTATATGTTCATATGCATCTCTATTTGTTCATATCTATCTATATCTCTTCATATATATTCATTCCGATGTTTATATCTATCTATCTATCTATCTATCTATCTATCTATCTATCTATCTATCTATCTCAGTCTCTTCATAGCTAGCTATCTATATAAGTCTATTCAGTCTATTCATTATCTATCTATCTATCTCAGTCTGTTTATGTTTCTCTCTCTCTCTCTCTCTCTCTCTCTATATATATATATATATATATATATATATCTATTCATTATCTATCTATCTCTCTAGCTAGCTAGCTAGCTATATCAGTGTGTTTCTATTTATCTATCTATTCATATCTATCTATCATACTCTATTCACTATCTATCTATCTATCTATCTATTTATCTATCTCAGTCTATTCATTATCTATCATAGTCTATTCATTATCTATTTATCTATCTCAGCCAATTCATATCTATATCTCTATCTATGCTTACTCATATTTATTTATAAACTCTACGCGTAGAAACATATATGCACAGATGCCAAATGTGTGTGTGGATGAGTGTATGCGTGAAGAGAATGTGAAAGTGTGTGTGTGAGAGAGAGAGAGAGAGAGAGAGAAAGGGAAAAGGCGAAAGAGAGAAGGAAATTAAGAAATTCTGCGAGTTTTATTATTAATCTAAATTTTAATCTCATATCATCAAAACCAGTCTGTGATAGACGTCTCCGAAAATAAATTGACCAGAAACATAACAAAACAGCATAAGCTAATCTACACTCAGCATAACAATTTAAAGACAATAAATATACTTCACAAAAACCATTATGTTATATTCATACACTTATATATAATGATTTACTAAGCGAAACATGAATGTAGCAGAAGATCGAAAGTGACCGAACTCACTACTCAGTAGTAATTCATATGGTAAAATAAGCTTGTTAACCATTCCACCATGACGAAATGCTCAAGGATTTGCATTCACCTACTAAACTATATGAACAACTTAAGGTGTACAATTTTGAGTCTCGTGTAAACCGGACCAATGTCTATATTTTGGTTCTTGGCCAAACGGATCTATGCAGATCTATCTTTTTGAATTTAGTGCAAACCTGACCTATACCTAGCATTTGAAATATACCAACAACGGCTGATGTATCATTATATTAAATATCATATATATATATATATATATATATATATATATATATATATATATATATATATATATATCAATTTGACCTTTAATATGACGTCACCATGAGTTACTTGAAATTGGTTTCATGAAACGTGATATTAATAGACAGAACTTGTCCATATTATTTAACTAAACATGTAAATAATATATATATATATATATATATATATATATATATATATATATATATATATATATATATATATTTAAATTGGCAATACAAGTATACCCCATCATGAAAATTAAAAATTAAAAACTTCAAATTCTTGAAGTCCCTTATATAAGAAAGTTACAACTAACACTAAATAAGATTAATTATGACAGTAGCAAGAATGTTTTAAAATGTCTATAATAGCAAGATTTTAAAATACAGAAATTGTAATTTTTGGGGAAAAATTAGAATTAAAACAAAATTGTATTAAAAAATTTACAAATATAAATTAAGTTAACTACCTTGATAACGTTAATTTTTGGATCATGAGCATTTACAAAAACATTCACAACTATCTATTACATTAGTTTTTGCCTTAGTAATTCACCACTGAATATGATCATGGATGAGATTAAAAGTACTTGGGAAAATAAAAGGAAAGATAAAAAACTACGTAGCCTTTCTTAATGAGTTTAATGCCAACATTAAAAAAATTGATCCGTGAATTTGAAAAGATTAAAATAAAAATATAGATATGTCTAGATTATTCAACCAAAGATATCTGAATATATATATATATATATATATATATATATATATATATATATATTTAAATTTATATATACATATATAATATACTGAAGATTTTGTGCATTATTTTGCATATCGTCTAAATTTTTTAGTTGTGTTTTCATGTAAATTATCTTGCTTATATTATTTTTTGTTCATCTCCAGGCTATTACTTCTGGAGCCGTTTGTATTATGGAAGGCGAAGCCAACACGATCTCCATGCTCCCGAAGAAACGTTGCCAGTTAGTGCTTGCTTGACTTTCTACTATTCTTTCCATGGTTCTGGAGAATTGGAAATATTTGACAACGGCAATCTTATGCTGAAAATAAGACCAAATAGAATCAATACGTGGCAGAAATCCCAGATCCAATTGAGCCAAGGAAAGCACAATATCACTTTTTCCCACATAAAAGGAAACAATTTTATTTCAAAAAGCATGAATATTTTAGCATTGGACAGTATTACCATCTCAAATGGAACTTGTGGATTCTTTGGTAAATATATTTTATTTACTAATTTTTTAGACTTAAACACCGGGTTTCTTTCCTTTGCTTTCTTCTGTAATGCAATTGTTTCTTTGAAATATTTCCAGTCACGTCACTAGTCCATTAAGAGGCACTACATATACTGCAGATACGGCAGTGTCTGGTGTGTCTAGGGCGAGACAGTCTGATGAAGCCAGTCCCTATTTGGACTGTTTTTATGTTCAGTGATAGCCTTCTTTGAGACTTGTTGTCATCTCAAGGCAACAGAGCCATGTCATTTGTGCTATTTAAACCCGTAGAAAGTTGCCGGTGGTGGTATTTCAGGGGAGAGATGTCGAAATGGATTCATACCCTTCCCAAGTTTATTTGTGCAGAAGTGAATGTACCGAACACAACAGAAATTCGAACCCGCTTCACCGATTTCTCTTTATGAGTCGTTAACCATTACACAATACCGCATATGCTTAAGAGGTTTACTGATGCCATAATAGGCGATTAATAAAATGTCATTAAAGCGATCCAATAGTTTTACAACCATTATCTATTTTTCGCATTTTTTGATAACTTTTTGCCAAGCCACACACACACACATATATGTGTATATGTGTGTGTGTGCGTGTGTGTAGTTCAACATTTAATAATGGCAAAGATTGTTTACAACCATAAATTCCGTCGACTAGTGAATTATTGTGTGATAATGAGCTTAAGGCGAGAATATTTTGCAAATAAAGTGCTCAATATTAAGAAACAGAGCATGATAGAAAATGAATAAATAAAAACACTCCGAAGATTTTTCACCTGACTCAATAATGTTTAACCTGGCTAAAGATCTACTGGAAGTCGATGATTGCAGAGTAAGAGGTACGAGGCACGGTTTATGAGGATATGTGGGGAAGGTAACGGTTAACCCTAAAGTTGAACAGATTAAGATTGTAGTGATCGGGAAAACATCCTCTTGGGATTCTTTTCTATAAAGTAGCAGGGAAAAAGCTGTTGGAGTGGAACTTATATCTTCCTTATGGAATATGAAGAGTGGTTCGTTACAATGTTCTTTGTTTGCTGGGTCTTAGGTTAGAACTGGTGGAAATAAGGAATGTACCTTGAATACGTTCCATGGAAATATCGATAGAGTTGCGAGAGGCTTACAACGTTTCGACTTAGAGAAAGGCGTTGTAAGGTCGAAGACATTTAATCACTCACAAGGCCGCGTAGATGCTATGGACGCCATCGAGACTGGAAAGTGAAGACTGGGCAACTCCTGTTCCTATATGGCAATAGTACTTCATTTTCAGCCTGAATTTGTTTCTGTAAAGGCAGAGGATGGCAGGAAGAAGGTAATTACTGGAGTAGCACAGGGAATGGATCATTTTCCCAGCATGTTAGATCCCTGTAGTCTCATCGAGAGAAATAGTCTCATCGTGATAGATCAAAATTCAGGGTCCGCTTGGCAACGGAGGCCGTACACGTCGAATTGTGGATAAGTTAATTCTTTTTGCTTCAATTAATTTATCTAGTCTGTGATATATGTTTTATCATCTAGGGATATAAGTTTTTTCAATTTCGTATTCATTTAATTAATAATCCACAATATATATATATATATATATATATATATATATATATATATATATATATATATGTCTGTGTGTGCATACGAAAAGAAATGATTCAATAAAAATTGGTTAATAAAGAAAGATCTTTCTGTTAAAGTGGGGAAAGATTTCTTTTTTAATTTTCGAAGTCGTTTTATTTCTTTAATGATATATGATATAATAATTTCTAATATTTTGATTTTTGGGAAATACTGTTAAAAATAAACTTTCCCTTCACTCTCTTTACGCACAAGTTATGATTTTAATGCTGAGGAAGTTACCACTTTCAGGAGAGAAAATACCTTTATCTGAACGACTCAGCAATTAGATCTAGGTTTTGGTTAACATTCATTGAGTGTAAGTCATAATTTTTTTTTATCTAGTCACTTTCAGTAGTCATAAGTTGCAAATGGTAAAGTAATTTTTTGATAAAAAAATCCGAAATATTAAAAATTTTTAAAATTCTTTTATTTGACAGAATGCGAGAAAGGCTGGAAAAAATGTCCACGAATCCCGGTTTGTATTCCGGAATTTAAATTCTGTGATCATGAAGTAGACTGTTCAAATGAAGAAGACGAAAACAATTGCCGTAAGTTAAAAGTTATATTTTAAGAATTTATTTTGTGTTCTCGACTTTAAATTCAATACAGAAATAACGCTTCTAAATTTGTGTCGAACAGAAAGTAGTGTAACGTTCATTCATTATCCAACTTTTAAAATTTTTATTATGTTATTTTTAGGGCTAAAAATGTTTTGTTAAAATTTAATCTTTTTTTTGTTAAGAAAATTAAGAGGCAAATGTTTCTATGGTCTTAAGTGGGTAGTCAAATATGAGATTGGAAAGAAAGCCCAGTTGAATTTAACAATGAAAAAGAAGAAAATACTCCCTTGGTCTTATGTTTATGGTGTCAAATATTAGATAGAAAAAAAGTCCTTTTATATCTGAAAATGAAAAGGAAACAAAAGCTTCTTTGGTTATATGTAGTTAGAATCAAATATTAGGTTGGAAAGAAAGTACTGTCACATTTGAAAATAAAAAATAAGCAAAATTCTACTTTGGTCCTATGTAGGTAAAATCAAATATTAGGTTGGAAAGAAAGTACTGTCGCATTTGAAAATGAAAAATAAACAACTTCTTTGGACCTATGTAGGTAGAATCAAATATTGAATTGTGAAGAAATTCTGTTGTATTTAAAGATTGAAAAAGACAAAATGATTTCTTTTTCAAATATCTCCTTTCCTAAAAGAAATATTCATTTCCAAAGTCAATATATATATGGGTTGGACAAAATAATTGGAACAGTTGCAAAATCCACTCCTATATTTCGAAGACCTATTATATTAAGAACTTTGACTAAAACTTCGTATTTGCAGGTTATATCTACTGTAAATACGTTTATTTATCTAATTTACTGTCTTTGTCTTATTTATTTTTAGAATTTAGTAAAATTTAAGCTAAATGCATAACCTCTCCGAGTTCGATAAAGAGCAAATTGTTGGAGCTCGCATGGCAAGAGCCTCGATCACTAAGGTTGCTGAACTGTTTTGTTTTTCAAGAGCTACCATATCAAAAACACTGATGCAATTTGAGAAACAGGGCAAGACCTCTAGCAACCGTAGCAATTCGGGCCGGACTTGCAAACTTACTAACAGAGACTGACGTGCATTGAAACGCAATGTGGCAAAAAATCATCGGACAAAGGCGGCCAAAGTGACTGCTGAGTTGAATAACCATCTAAATAATTCAGTTTCTACTAAAACTGTTCACCGTGAGCTCCATAAGGCTGCATATTATGGAAAGGCCGCTGTGAGGAAACCTCTTCTCTCCACTCGCAACATTCAAAAGAGGTTGAAGTGGTGCAGAGATCAGAATGCCTGGTCTGCAGACCAATGGAAGCAAGTCATATTGTCAAACAAGTCCAGTTTTTCTCTTTTCCCAACTTCAGGGCGAGTTTATGTGTGGAGCAGCCCAAAGAATCTTACAACCGTGACTGCCTTCTTCCATCAGTGAAGCATGGAGGTGGATCAATGATAGTTTGGGCCGCCATATCATGGAAATGTCTCAGTTCAATACTTGCCCTGCATGGTAGAATCAACAGCAAAGATTACATGAACATTTTGGAAGATCATGTTCATCCAATGGCCAAGAGTTTATTCCCTGATGGTGACTGCATCTTCCAAGACGATAATGTTCCATTACATATATATCCAATACATTAATATTCCTAGACATATTAAAGCTAAAGGCTAAAGGAGGAGCAACTCCATATTAACGAAATTTTCTTTGAATTTAACAAACAGTTTCAATTATTTTGTCCAAGCCCTATATATATATATATATATATATATATATATATATATATATATATATATATATATATAAAGAAAAAAAGAAAAACAGACCACTTTTAAGGCTCCATTTATAATTTTATTTTTCTGGATCTTCAGACTTTACTTTCAATATATATATATATATATATATATATATATATATATATGAAACGAATCATTAAACACCATATTTATACTGTAAATATCGACAAAGTAAAACTTCTAATATATTACAGAAAATGAAAAACAGCCAACCTCGTCGTCACTAATCAAAATAACCCTATCGCTTCGATTTTAGCAAGGACCAACATAGTGTATCAATTTAACAGCCTAGTACAAGGCTGTTTCTTGTCAAAAATCGATTAGCTCTATCGGTCATACCACCACTTCCTTAAGAAGACGCCTCACGTGTCACTTATCAAACCGATGTCCAATAAAAAGTCATTTAGCCACAATGTGCAACAACCCATAAGAATAATTCTGTTTGATAACAAAATCGTCCTTCATAAGTCCTGTAACAGAAGTTATTTCGTTGAGAGAGTCCCTTTACATAAACCACAAAGGTATTGAAGGTTTCTTTGTTTTTAAAATAGAAAGATGCCAACTTGAATTCTAGCCTCGTTCAATTCGCGAGGGTTGGAATAAACGCTACAACAATTTAGGCATCACAAAAACTACGTCTTAAACAAAGATGAAAAGAAATTAGCAACACTTAACAATAACCCACCCACCCTTGAAAATGGTTCAAGAAGTGTCCGAAAGCGCTTGGGACAATTGACACTATAGACAATTTTTACATTCGCTTATTCCCACCAAATGGAAAAAGTAAGAATATTAGAAAAACTAAATCAAATTAATCAAATTTTTCTTGTCATCGAAACCTGCTGAACGAAATATGTTTGAAAGAAAGGTTGCTACCCAGGTTACTTGCACATCCATCACCTGTGGATATGTTTGTCCCATTGCCCACGAATCTTCCGTCAACCACAACACGATACACACAGGAAATCGATTAAAATGAACAAAACTAGCAAATCCAACCTGAAATCTAGCAAATCCAACCTGATGAGATCAACGGTCCGAACAATCTCAAATCCTCACCCAGTCATCGACGTCTGCCCAATTTCACTTACAATGCATAAATAAGTCTTGTGAGTGAAATTGTGATATGATTTTCAGGCATTTGGGATCGCCTTCACCAGACAGATAACATGAAGAAAGAAGTCAGCTTACTGTCAAATCAACCATGATGTGATTTGAACCCGGGTTTCATGGTTTCTAACCACTCGGCCACGTGTCCGTTGTGGCCTATATATAAATTTCTTTATCCCACGAATCGGACTTTTATTAAATCAATGCAGTATACTGCTCCCATTCCGCTGAAAATGCCTCTAATTCACTCGCGTCTCGTTGTCGTTTGTCCGATTCTTTTTACAGAACCAAACTATATATTTCCCCTACTACTTGACCCAGGGATTGAACTCACGACTGCCGGACACATATTGTTGTAATATTGTCTTTGTTCAAAATAGCCGAGAATTAGAAAGGAGTAGTTAGAGAGAGAGTATTGAAGGAACAGAAAACTAGATAAAGGAAACAAAGAAGAGCTTTATTAAATCCTCATACAGAGAACGGAAAAAAAACTTGAGTAAATTAACTCTTTCTCAACCCCGACTTTAATCTGACTACTTGCCATATTTATAAGTAGGAAGAGTCCATTGTCACAGTAGTAGGGAAGAGAAGGAAGTACACTGAGTGTACAACATATTTCAACCAACATTTTAATCTATGAGGCTATTTTTTTTTTTGTAAATATTTGTAAAAACGTACTTCGTATGGATTTGCTATCATTTAAATTTATATTTTGTAGAGAAATATTCTAATATACGTCTGGTTGGCGGAAGGAGTATCCATCAAGGTTTTGTTGAATTATATCATCAGGGTAATTGGAATAAAACCTGTGGAACCTGGTATGAGAGAAATGCCGCAGTTGTCTGCAGAGAATTGGGTTATAAGTAAGTACCATTTCAATACTACATCTAGTCTACTTTTAACATAAAATCCATTATGACTTTATGCATTTATCGGTCCCGCAACCTGATCTTTCCTATTTGATAAATAAATATTTTGTTGTTACGGTAATATGGACATCACCGTTCAACGGAGTCATGTGGTCGATCACTGCTTTCCATTTCATTTGCTTCAAGACAGTTTTCTTTGGATTCTGTGTACCGCGTCTCTTCAGAATGAGAGAGAGCCGGTAGGTTACTCACTAAATGTTACTTTTAATGGTTTAAAATGTCTTTCTGAAGAGAACCGCTGAAAGTTGTGTACAACCAGAGATTTTTTGAAAGTATAAATTACACAAATATTTACATGAATAAAAAGTAATATCTCTCTGTCTGACTGTCTGTCTCTCTCTCTGTCTCTGTCTCTCTCTCTCTCTCTGTCTCTCTCTCTCTCTCTCTCTCTATATATATATATATATATATATATACGCGAGGTCTGTTTGAAAAGTAACGGGACTGGTGTCAAAAACAATTTATTTCAATTTCAAACAACAAACTACATAATTTTTCCCTTCAAAGTCCACAGACACCGAGGCTAATGCACATTTTCCATCCTTCTCTTCCACGTTTCTATGCACTGCTGGAGGAATTCTTCTTGTATGCCCCTCATAATCCGTCTTTATGGTCCTCTTGATGGCCTCAACGTCTTCAAAACGGGTTTCCTTGATGATCCCTTTAAGCCTGAGGAAAAGAAAAACGTCACACTGAACAAGATCAGGAGAATAAGGACGTTGTTTCAATATGACGATATTCTTCTCGGCCAGGAGTTGCCCCGATTTGTCCTGCGACAACTCTCGTCTCTTCTCTGCGTCTACAAAGAGATAAGTCTAGAAAGAGATTTTTGCGTCGTTTGCTTCGGCCAATTCACATTGGCCGAAGCAAACGACGCAAAAATCTCTTTGTAGACTTACTGATTGATCGTCCGGCTCTGTGGCAAGAACACACTGGGGACGATACTTGTCACATAGAAGAACGGATAAGTCCCTTTACTTTTCAGACAATTTTCGTATATATATATATATATATATATATATATATATAGTCTGTGTGTGATAAAATAATTCTATGTCTGTAACTACTTGGTGGTGACACTCAGTGTCCATTATATATATATATCACACGAGAAATATAATCAGTCAATTGCTGGTAATCCTCTGACGGATTGATTTCTGGAGGGTCCGTATACGAATCACTGGAGACGAGATGATCAAGGTAACATCAATCAGCTAAATGACAAATTTTATAGTTGTATTATATATATATATATATATATATATATATATATATATATATATATATATATATGTGTGTGTGTGTGCGTGTTTTGTGTTTGTGTGTGTTTGTACTGAAGACTACTGACAAGGCACTATGATTAAGGAACCATCCAAATTATTTGTGGATCCGATTAAGCTATTAGCAAAAATCATTTGGACATTTCCTACACAATCTATGTTCCAAAAATTATTTGTGCGAATGTATGAAAAATATAATAAAATCGCAGTATTTTTTCCGGTGTCTTCAATAAAGTCTCTATATAAAAAAGGATTGCTGTTCAAATGTACAATTGTGTTTATATATATATATATATATATATGATAAAATATTTTTAAATTATGCTATATACGCTTAATATGCTTAATATAAGAAATACTACATTTAAGCTAGCTCCTTCAGAGGGTCTTTTGATTGGGCCTTCATCACAATAAGTAGGAGTAGATGCGATAGGCAACAATAAACTACAGAGAATTCAAAATTGATCGCTACATTTATGCATTAATATTTAAGCTTACCTCTTAAAAGTTCAACGATAATTCTTCTGTCGCTATTTATTTTAAATACAATTTGATGTACGTAGGTCCTTACACTTCCGTACAAACAATTATTTTTAATCCATAGTTGACTTTCACTGGATTTCGCAATTTATTTTGATTATTCCCAAATTATAAAAATTGTTATCGTACAAAATAATTCATCCTAAAAAAATCACTTAAAATTCGACGAAAACTATCGCAGTAATGAAAACTTGGGAATTAAGAATTTCAAGATTGCGGCTGGAATGTTTTTAATCTGCTAAAGGAGTTGGCCCGAATCTAAAATGGGATGCTATGTTGGGCTATGGCCTCTAGGAGTAAAATTGAAAACACTGACAATTTTATTTTGAAACATTGTAATTTGTGAACAGTATTTTTTTTTATTTGAACATGAGCTATTGAAAGTTAGAGAGTTGTGTCCCTTTAATTGTTTTATCAGTAGAATCCAAGATGGCGGAATCCGAAAACAATCGCAGTAATGAAAATTTTGGAATCCAAAACTTCAGGATTGCTGGTCCGGATCCGACCTGAATGACTTTAATTTGCTCATGGATTCGACCTGATTCCAAAATGTTATGATATGCTGGGCTACTGCCTCTAGTAGCAAAGTAATAGTGTGACACAGTGACACACTGATATCAGCATTTATTATATAGATGTAAATATAAAATTGGATATTGAGGTCAACACCAAGCGGCGACTGTCTGTTTCATCCTTGAACGGAATCTTCAGACCATATGTGTTGTGTTTTGGTTCTACGATTTATATATGTTGGTCAGTGGTGCATTATGATTAGGTCTATTGTATTATTCTAACGGTAATTGAATGGACGGTAACTGTTATATTTCAAATAATTCTAGAGGCTATTGAGTAGAAATAACTGTTGATTCGAAGGCTGTTATGTTGCTATTTTATAGTGTTGTTTGTTTATCGATTGTTTATGGTTGATTACTTTCTTATTTCTGGTTGATTGTTATTATTGCGTTTACTCGTGTTTATGTCTACATTCGTAGTTGGCTAATTTGTTTATTTACATAATTTCTTTACTTATTTATTGATTTGCATTATTTTTGCTTATTTATTTATTTTTTATTTATTTATTTTATTTTAATTTATTTAATTTATTTTAATTTATTTATTTCATTTTAATTTATTTATTTTTTAGTTTCTTTTTAGTTTTCGATTCTTAAGTAACGTAGCGAGAATCTGTTTTCGTGCCTGCATTTTGAGATGAGTTCTGGTCGCTTATTTAGTAATTAGTGTTCGTCTGGGAAGGTAACAGCTATCGTAAATTAAAAAAAAGTAAACTGTATAGACAAAGTTTACATTTTTTGAATTTATTCTTGTGGGTTAATAATGTTTTCCTTATTTTCCATTATATTTTAGCTGTGATTTGTTTTGTTTTCTTAATTTCGCATATATGTTTAGAAAGCAATGTGCTGTTCACGTATTTACTATTTGTAAATAATGTTTTGTGCGCTTAGTTTCTTTATTTACAAGGTCCTTCAGTTACTCTTATACAATGTAACCCGGATATAAGAGAGTTGTCGGAACCGGAGAAGTCTCTTATATCCGGGTTTCTCTTATATCCGGGTTTGGTCTATTTTATATACATTAACACAGGCTCTAATTTGGGACCAGAGAAAATCTCTCTTATATCCGGGTTTCTCTTATATCTGGTCTCTTATATCCGGGTTACACTGTACATATCTTTTCTTCATTATCTGCTGATTTTACAGTGGATTGATACATTACATTGTTCTACAAGCAATTGCCGTGTAGGGAACATTCTTTCTTTACTCTGTATTTACACGTGGGTTTAATTTATATGGGTGGGTAGTAAGCTGTTTAACTGCTATGCATTTTTTATTATTTATATCATGTTCTCGGTGCAACTGTAGCTGATTTTTACTGTGATTTTGTTGAATAGCGTGTGAAAATTGCTTAATGAGGGAAGTGTTTAAGTGATTTTGATGAATATTTTTTCGTACGTTTGTTTTTACGTTTTTATTGTACGGTCAGTTGAACCATGTGATGTTTCTTTTCCTGTTGACATATTACAAGAATACTATACATATCTATATAGCTACAACATTATCAAAAATCTCTTTCGTAGTAGCTTATGAAAGACAAAGTACTCAGACATCGGGTATTTATAGTTAAAGTTTCACAAGAATCAGGACAAGAGGACGTAAATAGAAGGAAATAAACAAAAAAAATACTTAACTTTAGTTGCACTTTAACGGAACATGAATATTTATGTATGTGTATATGTGTATATGTGTGGGAAGAGTTTTATATTCCCTTCAATTTCTGATTCATGCTTCAACAGAGGAAGATCGAGAACATCATTTAAGACGATGCGTCAAATAAGCACCTATACCTATATCAGAAGTGTCAGTTGCCACGGTTTTGAAAAGACCATCAACAATTGCTCACTTGACTCTTGCCAATTGTACTGTTATTGCATCAAGCCAGCTGCAGTAGACTGTTCTGATACGGGTAAGTTTTCACAATTTTCCTTTTAGGTTGTCTTTTGCAAAATATTTGTCTTGAGATTGATTTTTGTAAAATATTTGATTTTAAGATTGTCTTTTGTAAAAAGGTTTGTCTTCAGATTTGCTTTTGCAAAAGTATTGTGTTTAGATTGGCTTTTGCAAAATATTTGCCTGTAGATTGTCTTTCACAAAATATTTGGCTTTAGATTATCTTTTGAAAAGTAATTGTCTTTTGCAAAATATTTGTCTTTAGTTTGACTTTTGCAAAATATTTGTCCTTTATATTCTCTTTTGAAAAATATTTCTTTTAGATTCCTTTTGCAAAAATCCATAACAAAAAACTACAAAATCCCTCTTTTCTCATCTTTTATGTCGCGTGTCTCTTCAGGACGTGACCGATCACAGCTTTCTACAATTTCATATTCTTCGAATTCCTAAGCAATATTTCTCCCCTTACTTTCCCTCTCAGTCCATGTTCTGCCATTCATTTACACAAGCTCACTAAACAGGCTACACTCTGTCTACCTTGCTTCGTCGTGTAAGTGTTAATTCTCCATCTTTTCTCATTATGCATCCCAGAATTATTAACTGTAATGTTTTCATTAAAGAAAAGGTGACCATTTTGTTCATATTCCCCTTAAAACACCTTGGTGTGCACATGTTAGGCTCATGATTCCTTCTCGGCATCCTTATGTAAAATCACATTTCTTGTGAGGTGATTGTCCAGTACTCACTGCCATATAGGAGGACTGATATTATGTATCAGTTCAATACTCTTCTCTTTACTTCTATTGCTTCAAGTCTCTTCACTTGAGAGGAGGAGATTGACCGGCATACCCTGCCATATAGGAAGATTGATATTACGTAACAGTTTAGTACCCTTTTCTATGTTTCTTCTTCATCTGGGAGGAGCATTCACTGACATATAGGAGGACTGATATTACGTAATAGTCCAGTACACTTTGTTTCTGTTGCTTCAAGTCTCTTCTTCATCTGTGAGGAGATTGTCCAGCATACATTGCTATATGAGGACTGATATAACATAACAGTTCAATACTCTTTTCTTTGTTTCTATTGCTTCAAGTCTCTTCTTCATCTCTGAGAAGATTATCCAGCATTTACTGCCATATAGGAGGACTGATATTACGTAGCAGTTCAGTACTCTTTTTTTTGTTTCTGTTGCTTCAAGTCCCATCTTTATCTGTGAGGAGATTCCCTTGCATTCATTGGCAGATAAAATGTTTGTGTTGAGCCAGCTTATCCTTGTTTCTTAATAATATTTTGAAAGTTATCTTCCACTGTTCGAATGTTTCTTCAGCTTTTGTGCAACATTTTCTATTGTCTGTTACAACAAACAATGAAAAATGTAGCTGAAAATTAATCATCGAATATATAATGTCCTACATTAGATCATACAACATTAATCAGAGTATAACATTCTATAGCTGAATATTTAACATTTGTCATAGAAATCTCTGATTTTGCAATATTTGGTTCACTGCTTCGTGACAGGCAATCTTCTCAACAGAATTCATCTTGCACATTTATTAATCTACCATTCATCCGTGCATTTAACATTGCCGGCATATATGGTCTGATGTTACGGTTATAGATTTCGAAATTCTCGTTAAATTCCAAAGAAGAATCTGTAATATAATCGCTCATCGGCTTCAGTCACTTTTCCATCACCGTGACGTAGCTTCCGTCTTTTCTATAATATTTTTCGTGGCAATTTTTCTGATGAGAATTCACCGTTGATGTCTCGAGAGCATGAATTTAAGCGTAATACTTGATTGGCAACTACGTCTCACTGATTTAATGTAGAAATAGCTATATTTAACCGTATGTTCTATTTTAGTAGTTAATATTCTCATACTTCTCATCTGTGGAACTCTTCTCTGATTACTTGCTTCTTTGTCACCTACAATCTTCCAAAAATATAAGCACAACGCCAATCGCCATTTTTTTGTCATCCTGAATCTTGTTCCTATATTGTCCGTTCTCCTCACTAAAATCTTTCCATTCTCTGGCACTCCAAGTAACCCTTTGTATTTTAGTGGCATTATCATCTTGATTGAGTTAAAATCATTAAATAATGTCCCATAAAAGAACATATATTAATCAAAGACGCTATAATCTCCGATAGCAAATAATCAAATAGAGTATAATGCCATATAGCAGATCATACAACAAAAAATATAGTGTTATGTCTTATAGTATATGACTCATTAATAAAAAAAATGTGTATACTCTATTGCCATTCACAGGACATTAATCAAAGAAAGTATAATGTCTTATGGATCATTTACCAGATATTTTTTTCCTTTCATTTTGGAATTTGAAACCTCATGACTTTCCAGATATGATTTTGACGTCTCCAGTTTGTAATTCACATCATTGTCTTTCCCTTGTGCTAACGACCATTCATTTTTTATCTTGTCTTAGATTTTCTATCTGATTTTAAGACATAAAACAAAACATTGCACACATCCTTGAGGTTCATTTTTTTTATTTTACTTGTGGTAATTTTGTTTATTCCTTCATATTTTTAGAGTGCGAATCAACACATGTACCGTGTGCAGATTACAATGCAACAGATACCAACAGTAGTACACTTAACGCTACATTGTGTATACCCAAGGAAAGTGTTTGTGATGGTGAATACGACTGTCCAAGAGGAACAGATGAAAAATCATGTTGTAAGGAAAATATTTATATTATACTGAGTGATTGTTCCTTCGTTTCTTAGTTAGGTAGTTAGTTAATGGGTTTGTAAGCATCCTGTCACTACCTCATAAATAATCGACTATTCTGTTTCGAACGCGAGGAAATACGGAAAAGACATATCAGAGAAGCTGTTTCTTTTTAGTGAAAGGAAAGAAAGAAGTGATAACGCTTTGATGTAAAAAAGTGAAATGAAAACACTTGTAAAATTAAATACTCCAATCGAAACCGACGAATAGACCACCTTTAAAAAACAAAAACAAAAAACAAAAACAGGAATTTTCTCTATGATGAGTATCTGACGTAATAATGACGTCATTGCATCGTAGTTCAACCACACTCTTCTGCCTTGCTCTGTTTTTTTTTCATTCCCTGTATATATTTCTTACTCACGGGATTAAAAAAATTCTCGTATAAATTAATGGCGGTGAAACAAACCCTTATTAATAGAATTTACTCCGATTAAAGATTAATACCCTTATTTTCTTCTTTATAATATGACTTGAGTATAATACGACCCCGTGTTTTAAAACTAAAATAAGGAATAAATTACATCCTTGTGTATAATACGACCTCGTAGTATAGCCATCCCTATGTAATTTTTTTGAAAAGCTATACCATGTCATCCATTAAAACCTCAATGTCATACATATATTTCACTAACATATTTAATTTTTCACGATATAAAAGAATAGAAATGAACCGAATGTTTAGCTACTTTTTCGAATGTTAGGGAAAAGTTGCTTTGTTATAAGATTAATGCTATCAATACATAAGAGACCTTGTGTATTCCCTGCATTAATTTATTTTAACCCATATCGGTGAATTTCTTGTCTTTCGAAGAAAAGACGTTTAATTTTACACTGATTCCCAAAGAACAAATATGGCCGACATGTCAAATACCTTTCGTAAACAATTGTTATCAACACCTGTCTGCTTTGTGTTTTTATATCTAAGTGTATTTGCAATCTTGCTGCTTCAAATAAGTTTTTTTTTTTTTTTTTTCTTTTTTAAGTAGAGTAAAATTTTCTGAAAACGTTTACTTGTGTATAATACGGGATCGTATTTTGGATTTTAATTTTCATTCAAAATTTCTCGTATTATACACAAGAAAATACGATAAATTTTAAATATTTTATTAGAAAGTTAGCTGAAATATTTAAATATTTTAACTAAAGTTGTATCAAAATTTAACAACAATCTGTATTTAAAATGTTTCATATATACCATACCGTATTAGTGATGTAATTTCAAATACGATTAGCTTTCACCGTTAAACACGTATATATATATATATATATATATATATATATATATATATATATATATATATATATAAATGCATTCACGTTATATTCCTCAAGGAATTTTTACAAATATATACACTGGCTGGAGAAAAAAATAGATAAACTTCCGTCTGCCATTCAAGCTGTCAACCTGCTAATGCCTGGAATAAACACACATCTCCGTGTTAAAAAGTGTATTTTTGCGATAATTTAAACTAAAAGTAAGTAATAGTTGTTTAAAATCAGAAGCCTTTTCTCCCAACGACTTCAGCATTATCTAGGTGCCAGCAATTATACTTCAGTACAGAAGGGAAAGATTGCCGGCATCCCAGGTTGTTTGGAGTATATTGGCGTGATAACGCAGTTTCTAAAAGAAAGGAAAGGTGATCTCATCGTACTGTGGCTGGACCTAGCTAATGTATATGGATCCGTTCCACAGAAATTGGTCGAGGAAGCTTTCAGAAGATACCATGTTTCTATTTGTGTAAGGAATCTCATACAATATCATTATAGTGATTTTAGCATAAAACAACCAAACAAGTGATTTCATACCTTCCGCATCTTCCATATCTTTGGCATCGGCTAGAAATGGGAATTATAATTGGATGCATTATCTCGATGATATTATTTAACTTAACAATGAACATGTTAATAAAATCAGCAGAAGTTGAGTGTCGACGTCCAGTGATGAGAAACGGCGTACAACAACCCCCAATTCCTGCATATATGGATGACCTGACAGTGACTACATCCACAGTCCCTGGATGTCGGTGGATATTGAAAGATTTAGAAGATAATGACGTGGGCAATAATGAATTTTAAACCGATAAAATCGAGGTCATTAGTACTGAAGAGAGGGATTGTGATAGAAAAGTTCCGTTTCAAAATTGCAAGGACCATTATCCCGTCATTAAAAGAAAAACCAGTCAAGTGTCTGGGGAAAATTTTCAATGCTAATTTAATAGATACTGATGCTACCCAAAATATTTTTCAGACCTCGAAGCAATGTTGAGTAAAGTGGACAAATCAGGTCTACCAGGCCGTTTTAAGTCATGGATATACCAACATACCGTTCTGCCAAAGATTCTGTGCCCACTGATGTTATATGAAATGGCATTGACAACAGTTGAGAAGATGGAGAAAAAGGTGATCGGATATTAGAGATGATGGATCAACTTACCGAGAGGTTTAAGCAGTGCAGCTTTGTATGGAGTTTCTAACATATTGCAGCTTCCCTTCAGATGATTGGTGGAAGAGTTTAAAGCGGCAAAGATGAGGGAGGCAATCCTATATAGGGATTCAAAAGATTCTAAAGTTGCAGAAGCACGCATTGAGGTTCGAACTGGGAGAAAGTGGGAGGCTTCCCACGAGCTCATTACAACAGAGAAAAGGTTGAAACAGAAAACTCTAGAAGGTACAGTAGCAATGGGCAAATCAGGTCTAGGTTACTGCTACGATCCATGAGGGAGGGAAAAAGGAAGAATCATAAACACTGTCTTCAATATGATGTGAGAGCGGGTGTGAAGAAAATTAGATGAAGTAAAATGGTGGCTTTAGGCTAACAGGGGGCATCGACGAGATGGGGGAAGGTGGAAAAAAGGAAGATTTCCTGGACAGATCTCTGGTATACTAATCCCAGTAATACAAGCTTACTTGTGAAGGCAGTGTATGATACACTGCCCAACCCCGTAAACCTCCACAAGTGGCGGAAGAGTAAGTCCCCACTTTGTCCATCGTGCCAGGAGAGGATCTCTTTAATACATACTGAGCGGTTGCCCCAAGGCGCTAAGCGAGGGGAGATACCAGTGGCACCATGATAAAGTTTTATGAGTCCTTGCAACAATAGTATCAAGGAGTCTAAAAGAAAACAAATATGAACCCAATAAGAAGACGAAGAATTTTGTCAGAGCCGGGGAAAATGTAAAGACGTCACAGAAGAAGAAAACATCCCTCCTCATCTCTGCCCCGGAGTGGCAACTGAGAGTAGATATAGGCAAGCAGCTTAAATTTCCTGTGGAAATAATACAAACTAAGCTTCCTCCAGACATGATCATTTATCCTGAGAAGACCAAGCAAATCATCATGTTAGAATTAACAGTCCCTTGGGAAGAAAATATGGATGAAGCACACGAAAGGAAGCTTGGGAAATATTTACTGATTGTAGAGGAATGTAAAAGACGTGGTTGGCGAGCTTAGTGCGAACCGATTGAAATCGGTTACAGAGGTTTTGCTGGGCGGTGTCTATGTAAGATATTACCAAAATTAGGTGTAACAGGTTTAGTAAAAAACAAGGCTATTCGCTCAATAACATCGGCAGCGGAAGAGGCTTCTAGATGGCTTTGGTTAAAAAGATCAAGTGATTGGCAGTCAGTAAGGAAATGAAACGAAGTTGCGGTTGATATATACATATATATTTATTTATTTATTTTTGGTGGTGGTGGGAGGGGGTCTTAGGTATGACCTTAAACTACATCCGACAATGGAGTCTCGACTAGGTTACAGAATCAGGGTACCCCAAATCATTGTTACCTATGGGTGATCTGTGTCTAAAATCTAGCACCAGTTTGCCCCCCCCCGTTACCGGGGGTTACAGTACTTTTTAAGATGTGAGTGTAATTCAAGAATTATAACATGAGCATGTTATAACATCACTACAAAAATAGCCATTTTGTTTCAACACTTCTTGTGTCTTGTCAAATGATGGAGTTGATTTCAGAATAAAGAGTTTTAAAAAGTTCAAAACCAAGCAAACTCATTTCAATCGGGTAAAATTGTTACATAAGCGCCAATGACAAATCAAAATACAAGTGTATGATAATTAAAAAAGAAAACTTGATGCAGAACCTTAGATATAATTAATTAATGCCTTAATGTAAATGTTAGGCTAAATTAGAAATCATTATAACTAATTTATAATTTCACAATAACCTTAAAAAAATAAAAATTACAAATTTAAATTTTAGATTTACGCTGCATTAAGTTTAAAATATTGTAAGATTATTCACAGAAGGAACGGATCAGCGTATATATATTTTTATTTTTTATTTATTTATTGTTTTCATCGAAAAGCCCAATTGTCAGTTAAAATTGACGCTAATATTATGGGGTTCAAATATCGTTAACAACATAGATTCAGTTGAAAGGATTTGAATATATCTATAATGGAATGGAAGGGAAGAAGTCTTACCAATAACAAGGCACACACACAATCATATCATAATACACCGACACGTAAATATATATAAAAGAAAAAACAAGACACCTAATGTTAAATGGAAATTACTTAATAAAGCTAGAGCTTGTAATTCTCCATATGCCGCTTGTTATCTACGCCTTAATGAAAAATTGGAAATCATTAGATTTAAAGATAAGATCAATTTTTTAAATCAAAGAAATGAACTTACTGTTAATTGTAAGCATAGCTCAGAATTTACCTTACAATATGGGTAGTAATATTTTGAATGACATTTTGTTAAAATAAAGCGTTAAGAGGTCATTTAATAAAAATCGCCTGAGGATTGAAACCAAGGTAGCAGGTTCAATTGACCTCCTCATTTTCTAAACTTAAAGCTATACATGTTATTCTTATTTTTCATTTTATTTTTTTCACACGTGTATTGAGCACTTTTAATACTGCTGTTTCCTCTTCTGATTTAACTCAGACCATTATATATATATATATATATATATATATATTTGTGTGTGTGTGTGTGTATAATTATAATATATCGCACATGTAGTGCTGGTGTTAATAAAACTGCTTGATTTAAACCGTTTGATTGTATAGCGTCAAATATTTACCAACGAAATTTTGTAACGCTGAACATTAATCATCTTTTTCTTTTAGCCAAATGCCAACCCGATGAATTCCAATGTCTTAACTATGAGTGCATTCCAGACACCAAAGTTTGTGACGGAGTTGCTGACTGTCAAGATAGATCTGACGAATATCATTGTTGTAAGTATCGAAAATACTCGTGACCTCTGACCTAAGTGGATAAACAAAAATGTAACAGAAACTCTAGAGATCGCTGAATTGAATAAATTTAGTGTTTATATCCCATAATCACCGGCTATCACCAGGTAACCTCATGATTTGAAAGTTGCAATGAAGCATTTAGCTTGGTAAACCGACCATTTAGTAAACCTAGAATTCTCAAGGGGTCCGTTCCACCCTCGTTTGAAGGCAGCGAAAAAGTCCATGAAGGCGATCACGAAAAAGGCCGGTTAGAGAAAAAAAAAGGGATGATATATTTACTAACATAAATGTTATACACAAACACATGATTTTATTTTATTTTGTTATCCAAAGTTAACGAACGTTTGTTTGCATCTTACTGAAGTTACCTGGACAGGACACACTACATTTCAACTAGATAAGGTAATGAACATCTGCAGAGAGCAAATACTCTAGGTTTGTAGGCATAGTGATATAGCCACGGATGTTCGTCTGGAGGCATCTTATCTAATGGCTTCTAAGAAAAGATGAAATAAAGATGTGCCTTTACAATGCTAGATTAGTTTTTGTTTTGAATTTTCAGTATAAATAATATCAAGAAATGTCAGTATTGGATGGTTGACTAGGGATGTCACTTTGGAGCCAATGTATAGGCAGCTAGAAAATTTTTTGAAATCATTGTACTAGACCATAAGTGAATTTTAAATAACCAGCCTCGTCAATGATGGAAAACATGCTGATATTGTGAAAGATAAAACCTGTAACATCAATGAAAACTGTAAGCTGTACGCATTGGTAATTGAACTGTGGGCATCTTCGTCTAAACATTCAGAAGAACAAAGTTTGTTTTTTTAATTATTCTGTTTGTCGTTAAACACAGATCGGCTGCCAGAGTGATTTGAGTTAGATACAGGACTTTAAGTCATGGGGACCGCAAGTAAGAATTTGTTAACATAATTATCATTTTCACAGGGTGAGAGGGAAGCAAGTGATTCTCTGGGAAGGGGGTAGGCCTTTCCTAGCCCGAATCCTTGGGCCGATTAAAACATCTCGTGTAACCTCGGAAGACTTGCTGATTATTTTATGCGTCATCTAAATATGGTTCCTTGTTTTTATTTCAGTCAAGCACACCAATCTCACTTTGTCATTTAAGATGAAGGGGAAATTCATCCCTGTATGCGAAGATAATTTGAAAGATCAAGACATTGCCAACAAACTTTGCCATTACGTTGGAAAAGGGTAAGTATTAAAATCATACCACATAGACATTAAATTCATGTATATGTATATAAATTCGTATATATATTACATTAAGATTTCCACAAACGATAGAAGGAAATATCAGTCTGTTATTGACCTGTATAAATATTTGATTGTCCCAATTTGATAATGATTGTATGTTTGGTTGCCGACTGATTTATTTCTTGCCCTCACATTGTCCGCTCACCCTCTATCTATAATTTCGCTCACTCTTTTTCTCTCTGTTTCTCTCTCTCTCTCTCTTTCTCTCTCACTCCCTCTCCCTCTCAAGTTGTCAGTTGCCGACTGTTCGCTGGTGGCTGACCCTTTCAACCTATGCAGAAAGATATGACTCACCCAACATGGATGGAGACTAGTGATGTCTGAGGGATCATGGTAATGAAGAGGGTCAGAAATTGAGCAATATATTCCTATTAGACTAGAAGGTTGATCGAAGAGGCCTGATCCGATAGGCTGGTCATTTTACCATTAAAGACTGACTGTTTCGCTGTATCACAGCTCATCAGTGTGTCTAGGCAACAAATTGACTCTAGCCGGGATTGAAATTCGACTGATTTGGCATCAGTCGAAGATTTTACCCCTAAGATTCGGCAGAGAGGAAGGTGAATTTTTGCGTATTTATTCTTTGAATAAAGACTTCACTGACCGAGAGGGCTCAATTGATAGAAGAGCTATATATATGTCATGGGTCCTTACCTAAAACTACAGAATGAACTCTTCCTAACACTATGTATACTATGCTTCTCAAGAGAGAGGGTCGAATCCAAACCAGACTGACAGTCATACTAACACCTTCCACATCTTGTATTATTATTTCGTGTAATATACCTTCGTTATTTCTACTCTTGTGTTCGTGTTGTTCTTACTTGGTCCTAACCTGGACCATAACAGTGGCGACGAGGATATTGAAGAAACAAATTCTACGTGGAGGATATATATATATATATATATATATATATATAATAAACCTTTTTGATATCGGTCGTCCATAACAGAGGCGGCAGAGATATTGAGAACAAAATCACCCCCCCCCAAAAAAAAACACAAGTTCTACGCCAAGATAAAAGAAAAAAACCTTTATGGACACCAGCCATAACAGTGGTAATGAAGACACGAATTTTACCTGTCAGCCAGAATAGAATCGAATTCTATGCAGGAAAATTTTTTCGTACCAAGGTTCCAGAACAACAGACGGACTTCACTTATGCACCGGACGAAAACAAAACCTTCGCGGCTTACTTAAGAAAATATGAAGATTCATATGAGTTTGATTGCGGGAATTGGTCAGACGCGAAAAAAGTACGTCTACTACTGAGGAAACTAGGGTCAAGCGAATACACTAAATTCGTAGACTACATCCTACCGAGGAAAACGAATGAGTTGACTTTCAGAGAAGCTGTGAAACTTTTAACGGAATTATTTAGTTCGAACAGGTCACTATTCCACAAAAGGTGGAAATGTTTAAATTTAACAAAAAAGGATAGCGAAGACTATATAACATTCGCTTCCGTAGCAAACAAACACTGTGAATGACTTTAAGCTATCTGGACTCAGCCTTGACAATTTTAAAAGTTTGATATTCGTCCAAGGCCTGGTTTCGACTAAAGATGCAGAGATCAGACGGAGAATTCTAACAAAACTGAAGAGTGAACCAAAACTGTCGCTTCAAAAATTTGCTAAGGACTGTCATAGATGCATAAGCGTAAAAAAGGACTCGATAGATATCGAAGAGACTGGCATCGCTCACATACGAAAAGTACAACGACAAACATGTTTTTGCCCTCCTCAAAAACAAACCAAACCAATTATTTTACTACAAAAAGTCAAATGAAACCTCAGAAGAAACCACCACTCAGTCCATGCTATCGCTGTGGGACTTTACATTAGTACAAATATTGTCCATACCGCTATAAGACTTGTCGTGCAATAAAGTGGGACATAAAAGTTCGCACTGTAGAAACAAGAAAGAAAACAAAAACCGAGTAAGAGTCACTAGAACTGACCAAGTGGACTGGGTAAATATAAGAAAATACGTACAAGTAGAAATGTTAAACAAAAAGTCAGATTACAATTAGATTCCGGATCAGATTTAACCATTATTAACTTACAGACGTGGAAGAAATTAAACAAACCGACCATGTTGAGAACAGATAAAATAGCCAGGTCGGTAACAGGTAGAAAAATAAAATTTGAAGGGGTGATTATCACAAATGTGACGTTCAACGGGATGACCAAGAAATTAAAAATGTATGTTCTAAAAAATACGGAAAATTTATTTGGAACTGACTGGATGCAGAAATTTGACCTCTGGGATTTTTCGATAAATACGTTCTGCCAAAAAGTGGAAAGGTTATCGACCAAGGCAGAGAAATTGAAGGAGAAATTAAAGGAGAGTTTCCCCGACGTATTTTCAGCCGGCCTCGGGAGGTGTAAAAAATAGCGGCAAAAATCGGACTCCAAAGAAAATGTACAACCCATTTTCAAGAAGTAAAGAAATGTACCTTTTGTATCATTAGAAAAGATAGACGAAGAGTTGGATAGACTCGTGAAAACCGGTATATTGACAAAGGTGGAATATAGTCAGTGGGCCGCACCTACGGTTTACGTGAAAAAGAAATCGGGTGAGATACGAGTATGTGCTGATTTCTCGACGGGATTGAATGCAGCGATTAAGGATTATCACTATCCTCTCCCTAGCCCAGAGGAAGTTTTCACAAAGTTAAACGGAGGAAAATTTTTTCAAAAATAGACTTGAGGGAAGCATACCTATAAGTACCAGTAGATGAGGAAAGCTCGAGGTTGTTGTGCATAAACACACATAAAGGATTATATCAGTTCCAGAGATTACCATTCTAGATCAAGGTCGCGCCGGCGATATTCCAGCAAATAATGGACACTATGCTAGGCGGACTGGATTTTGCGATCGCATACCTTGATGACATCCTGATAAATAGCAAAAATATTGAACAACACTGAGAACACGTTCAAGAGGTTTTCAGGCAGATACAAAATTACGGTTTTAAGGTAAAGGAAAATAAATGTGACTTCTTTATGAAGGAGATAAAATATCTGGGCCATATTATTAACGAAGAAGGAAGAAGACCAGACCCAGAAAGAGCCACGGCAATAAAAAAAAATGTCGGCTCCAAAAAATTTAGCCGAGTTACAAAGCTTCTTGGGCCTAGTAAATTATTAATAAGAATTTATTCCTAACATGCACAAATTACGCGCACCCCTAAACGAACTGTTGAAGAAGGAGAAAGTTTGGGAATTGTCATATGAATGTCAGAAAACTTTCGACAAAATCATTAAGACTCTAACAGCAGATTTATTTTTAGCACATTATGATCCTAAATTGGAAATAATAGTCGCGAGTGACGCGAGTGCCTATGGTGTTGGTGCATGTATACTGCATAAAATGCCGGACGGAACACTAAAACCCATCACGCACGCGTCAAGAACATTACTACCGAACAAAATTACTCGCAAATTTTGCGCATAAATTGAATCTGCGTCCCATTGTAGGCGAAATCGTCGTTAGAGAAAACTTTTCTTTATATTGATTACATCAGGATCACTTTGAATAAAGGAAACAAATAACCTACTATAATGGCTGGGGGAGGGGGTCATCTTTTGTGTAATGTGATCCAGATTGGAGCAGATACGTGAAGCAACAAGGAATTTTAATGACAACAGGCAGATAGAATTAACAAGAAATAACTCGTTTTATACGTTCAAGATGGATCACACTTACTGAATTTCTAGATTATCAAAAAGAAAAGGGAAAGCTTCTGATTGGTTAGAAATGAAGATCTTAAAAAATTATTTTGATTTCTAAATTAGAGCGTTTCACGTCTGTTTGCTGCATATGTTAGACCATCCGTTCTGCGTTCAGCCATCATGTATGATTTTATAACTATAGACCAAAAACTGAATTAGACAAATTCCCATACTTTGGGAGGGCTGTAAACAGGCGTTACACTCTTGTGAAGAAGATCAAGTCTGGTCTAAAAGCGCACTTAAGAAGCACACAAAAATGGCGGTCTGCAATGTCTGTGTACTGACGTGCCTGGGGCATAGGTTTCTCACCGTTGCCACTTAAACTCTTGGATAATTCTGTTTAATATCGATTCTTGATATCCATTCGATATCCCACACACCAGATACCGTAGTCGTCAAAAAAGCAAATGAAATCACTGTCAAAGTGCACATCTATTGCTTCACTCAACAGGTAATGTTATCCGCCTTGATCACAGCAGATTACACATGCAAACGCTCTACAGCGATTTGCCCCTGTATAAACAAAAAAAAGCGCTTCGAGGACTCTTTTATAAATACTCTCTTGTAGCCTGTCATAGAGTTTTTCACATCCATAACTGTTGAAGCTTGGATAAGCATGGAATAATAATACAACACAAAATGTACGTAAACAAAATGTATTGAAACAAGGAAAAAGGTACACAATATTTACAGTTAGTTTTGGTATATTCTTGGGAAGACTGTTCCTGTAGAATGGGTTGTCTTAATCGCAGTTGGGCAGAGTCTCTTGATTCGATCTCTTCTTACTTCTTCCTTCCCGTCTTCCGGTACCAACCCATATTTATATGGTCGGTACTCCACTATGTAAATTAGGCGGATCGTACCACAACAATAACAAACATTGCACGTCACTTCCTGGCTTCAAAAGCCATCATCATTTTCGCAAAAACTAAAACTTGTCAGCGATGGTCATATTCTTGTTTAACGAGTCGACAACCATTACATATGTTTCGACGCGTGACAGAGTTGTTATAACGTTTGTTTTTTGACCATAAGACGCGAGTTCGAATCTCACCATGCTCAATTTGTCAGAGAGGTGATGTTATGGGTGTGGGAAGACGATCATAACGCGCGGCACCGTGTGAAAGTTCTTGGAAAAACCAAAGCCTTATGAGTGAAATTGGGTAGCCGAAACCTTTCGCAAGCCATCAGCGGATGTTCTGGAACGAAGGAACAAGTCATCGTGACTGAATTGATTAATTCATTAATTTTCTACGGCTTTTCAACCGTTTGCAGGTTATTTAAAGCCATAAAATATGTTTAGATTGTAATAAATTTTGGAGATAGATTAATGATAGAGTGATACAAGTATAACTAATTAACCCATAACGGGGGAGAGAAGAGGTGGATTCAAACATTTTAAAGGGTATTTGCACGTAAACAATATAACGAACACAACTGGAATTGAAACGCGGCTCTTCGATTAACAATTTTGAGCCATTATCTATTACACCACCCGCGTATCCAAGCTTACAACTCATGGTATACCAAAACGGTCACCCATCTCGGTACTGACTAGATTGGATGTTGGTTAACTTCAGTGATCGTACGGGAACCGCTGTTTCAACGCGATATGGCTTATCATGACTGAAGGTTTGACCATACTCACGATGTTCAAACTGTTGATCATAACAGATTTTGCGCTTTCTCCCTACAATTGTAACTAAGGTCTGCTCAGTAGAGTTGCATTATCAACCATAGGTTGATTCTCTGGGTATTTATCAAACAAAAATGTGCCTGAGTAGATGTCTGCAACAGGGATTGGCTAGTCATGATAGTCCGGAAATTGGTAGCCGGCCATTATACTGATAATTTGCTAAAATTAAAATTTCAAATGAAAAGTTGTGTCTGGAAAATTATAATGCATACATTTACCCAAATTAAAGACCGAACTTTATTGACAATAACAATCCTTGTTTTCTTTGTTTTTGTATTATTATTTTAGGAATGCCTCAGTTGGTATCTCCAACATTAAAGCAACTGGAGTGAAGTTTTCTTATTCAGCAGACGCTAAACAATCTGTGTTGCCTGACTTCAAACCTTCCCTGGAGTAAGTACTTGCTTCCATTTGTATGATTGTCGAAATATTCTGAATACATTTTCGTAGAATTTGATAGGCATTAAATATTGTCTGAAACGATTCTCTAAGGGGAAATAACTCTTTATAGCCCTAAATGTCCAAAAATCAAATTCCTCGTTTATTTCATAATACTTAATAATATTTACTTTTGTATAAAACAAAAAAATGTTGCACAAGGCCAAAACTTGGGGATGGCAAAGGCTGGTCTTCATCTGTCTTTTCTTAAACTTAGCTACAATCACTGACCCAAACAAACTATACATATTCCTTGAACCAAAGCACCACAATTTTTGCTACAACCACCATAATACCTCAAAGTTCCTATGGAAATCCTAACTAATCTACATATGTACAATTTGTGTGGAGGTAGGGCATAAAATAACATTTAAAAATGTAAAACCCCAATGAAAGTTTACAATATGCATAATACTATACCTAAAAGAAACTAAAGAAAATGAGTTATAAAAATTCCCAGAAATATCAGTTAACTGGACGAAATTAATGCAGGACTTGGATAAATGAAAAACAATCATTCGCTCAATCACACACACGGCCATACACTCATTCAGGTACGATAGCAAATTTGAAAATCTAAAAGTGTCCCGCATCTACCAGAAAACTGACATTTCTGGTCACCTAACGGGTGGGGGGTATGGAGAATTAAACTAAAGAATTAGTTGTAGATAAAATGCATTATGAAGATCCAATTTCAAGTCCGATATTAGAAAACGATTTTGAGTAAGTTTAGTCTGGTTTGGTACACATCTAAAGATGTGAAACAACTAATGAGAAACGATCTCACTAGTAATAAAGCAATCCAATGTGAAACTAAGCTGTGAATCATTACTCTATGATAAGCATCTGAATATTTACCAAGCTAAAATTTGTCTGGCACAGGGCCACTGTAGTGAGCTACTCAGTGTCAGTGTAGACAGACCTCAGTATGCAGGTATGTATCAACGAGATTAGCTTGATGAAAATATCTGTAAGTATTCACCTAACTTAACATATTTTGGCACAAGGCCACAATTACAGCATATCAGTGAAGATGCAACTTACTATACTTGTCAATCTATGTTTCGATATCATATCATTTTAGATGGAATTGTTATTCATATCTTGAATATAACATGATAAATATTTTTCATATTCTTGTTCAAGATTAAATCAATTTACTTTATTTCAATGTATTTTTGGTAATTAATATTGTAGTTGGTTCGGTTATGTTGTCGCTGGACGTGACAACCGCTCATCACTTTTTTAAAAGACGAAACAATTTCTGTGCTGGATTTTGTTCGTTCCAGTTTGGTGGACATCAGTCCAGTATACTCTTCACCTTGGTTGGCGTGAAGTAGTCCATTAAGCCTTGCTTTGTTTCCACTTCTGTACTTGTAAATGGTCAGTGAATAATTGAAAGAGTTCTTGAAGTTGATGCAAATCCCAATCTGTTGCTAGACACTCAAGAGTAGCAGTGACTGGTCTATGCGAGCCAATCAACGTCAAGCTTCTATATCAATCTTGGCTGACTGAAAAGTTCTTGCAAGTTCAAATTTTTCACCACAGTTCAATTTTTGTTATTCTTTCCATCAGTAATGTTTTTTTTATTATTTCATTATGCCATAACATCAATAACCAAGAAAGAACCACCGATTATTTTTTGTTTAAAAAATGAATTTCTTTTGTTTTATAGCCCATGCACACTATTAAGTCTGAATTGTAGCCGCAGAGGTGAGTACGAAACGTTCGTCTATTTTATTCACTTATCAGCAATATGAAGACCCCGAATGATTGTTTTATTTGTTAGAGTAATTAGATTTGTAAAATGATAGAAATAATATCAATAATGGGCAGAGTGATCAGATTTGAGGAAATAATCGATACTTGTTAAAAATTGGAAAACACACACGTGATGGGAAGAGTAAATACGAATAAGCCTGATGTAAATAAAGATGAAATAATTAGAAAAAGAAAATGCAATGACAAGTGATAAAAGTTTGGTGTTCAGTTCAAGATGTTAAATAAAATTGATTTAATAAAGTCCCTTTTAAAACTCTCTATATTAGAGTTTACTGAAATGTTCGTTTATATTGATAGTGTAGATATTGACTTTGCTATATCTCTCACAATGATAAAATAATGAGGTGCCTTTACAAAATAATGAGGTACTATTTCCAAATACTAAAGTATATATATATATATATATATATATATATATATATATATATATATATATATATATATATATATATATATATATACCGGATGTAACAGCAAACTTTTCCAAATCGTGAAACACCAAAATTGTGCAATTATTAGATTAAGATTTGAACCGTTGTATCTTAGAAAGGATTAAATTTATATTACTGGAATTTTCCGAATTTTTTTAACACTATTGGACTCTACATTGAACAATAAAAATGTATTTAGTTTTAAGTTGAAATGATGACCCCTCTTGCCGTTGTTACCTCCTGATCCAGTTTTCCTCTCTACTGTTCCCTCTTTTTAAAACTTATTCACTGTTCTCTTGATGGTTCTTGAATGGACGTTTTGAAGCTAGATTATGAATGTTGCTGAAGGCTTTTTCGTCTCACCATCGCTCAGTTGGGAAGACAGTAGAGCTGACACAAAATTATTTTAACCTGTTCTCTTTCTAGCTGAATAACTCAAAGGGTTTTTCAGTCATTCTTACAAGTAGTTTCAAGACAGCACCACGTCTTATCTAAAAAGATGTAAAAAGAATCTCTCTCTCTCTCTCTCTCTGTATATATATATATATATATATATATATTTTAAAGAGCGGTATATAAAATCCGGATGATAATATGGTCTTAACAGAATATGTTATCATTTTCCGACAATATTATATGATCGAAAATAGAGCTTTCCGATTAGTAATAATATTTATTAATATATTTCTATATTTAAAAGTCACATTTTAAAACCTTCTACTAATAATGTCATATAAATATGCTGCCATTTTGGATTTTTTAGATAATCTATTATGGTCATAATATCAACATTGATTTAACCTTTCGTAACTGTTTCAGCAAGTTGGCATAGTACTCTCACTTGATGGTGTGACACTTGAAGATTGCCAATAAACATAATGTCTTTTGCATTCCAAAAAACTGAGGCCATCACTTTCCCTGCAGATGAAACGACGTTGGCCTTCTTTGGAGCAGGTGAGGAGGGGGTTTCCACTGCATGGATTGTCTCTGGTTCAAAGTGATGAAATCAATCCTGGGTTAAAAACAAAACAAAACAAAACAAAAAAAAACAGTTGGATCTACCTCAAACAAATTTTTTCAAGATGCTATACATTTTTGCGCTTTTGATCAGCTGTCAGAAGATGTGGAACTTTTGAGAAGAAACCTTTGTCATACCAAGTTCATTGTTCAGAATATTCTCAACTCTCTCACGGAATATTCTAATGACATTGGTTATTTGATTTATAGTCCATCACCATGATGTGAACAATCAATATTTAACTCTGTGATGGCAGTTGCACGTTATCCGGACCTTGGATCATCTAGAGTACTCTCACTTTTCCTCTTTAATTTAGCTGTCCAATTTTGCAATTTTGATAATGCTGAAGTGTCATCCCCTAATGTAGCAACAATATCAGCACGAATATACTTGGGGATTAAAGCATTTTTCTGCAGGGATTTAAATAATATCACGATGTCAAAATTTTGTCTATTTTCAAGAGACGTCGCCACATTTGAAGTCTTCTTTGGACAGTCAGATATCAGTTGACCTGGAAAGAAACAATATAGTTATTAATGAGTTGAAATTAATGTATACAGGATTTCACAGCTCTAGAATCACCCCTTCATAATCAGCCTACTAATTTTTCAGCCTACTCTCGTACCTGCAAAGAAACAACGCATTTATTAATAAGTAAAGTTGAAATTAATGCATGCAAGATTTCACAACTCTTGCTCCACTCCTTCAAAGCCAGGCTATGAACCTTTCAGCCCATCCTCGTTTCTAATAAACATTCGTATGAAAAAAAAAACATTAATTTTTCTTATGCTATTTTATCCAAAAAATCCATAATAATAATAATGACTTGATATAACGACCTTTTTAGATAACACGGAGAAGTTAATATTATTATAAGATCAAGATCTAGTTTGAAATTACAGTAATGCCTTGAGACGAGCTCGTAACTTAAAAAGACTAGTATCTCAAATCACTTTTCCCCATTGAAATTAATGGGAATATTTCCGATCCCTAACCCTCGGGCTCTGAAAATCAGCCTTATTTTCCTAAAACTAACCCATATGTTTGTATTTGTGGGTTTCTTACAAGCAAAAAAAGTATGAATAAACAAGAAATGTTGTTCACAAACAATAAAATAAACGAGAAAAAAATTATAAAGAAATAAACTGTACTAAACCATGAAGTGCAGATGAACCATAGGCCAACTGGCGGAGGAGAAATATAGAGAAGAATAACAGCTAGCTTAGCAACCGATAACCTAGCCTAGCAACGGCTAACCCAGTCTATGATACCGAAGATTGATTTGATCAATTAATTTTAAAATTTTAAAAACATTTACATTTTATCCATTACTCTAACGATTTTTTATTTTTTTTTATATTAAAAAAATCGTTACAGTAATGGATAAAATGTAAATGTTTAAAAAATTTAATTTAATTTAAATTTTATAATTTTTTTATTTATCGGCGAGGTAGAACGCTCATACTATCTCGCCAAATCCATTACTCGAACGTCTTCCTCATGGACTTGTATAATTTTACGTTTTACCTCAAGCGAAATCATACGTTTCGTCTTTTCACTATTTTGTTTGGGCTCATGGTTTCACTAAAGACATTTTGCAAACTAACAGAAAAAAAAGCACAACACGAGATCCTTCCAAAGTGAGGTAAACACGTGTACTGCGGGTTTTTAAATATGTATTTCGAACCTGGCGCTAGCTGCGTCAACTAGCGGATACTTAACTGAAAGTCGCTCGCATCTCGAAATTCAGCTCGTATCTGAAGGCAAAAAAAATCAACCGAACTCCGGCTAGTATCTAAAAACTCATACATCTGAACGCATTACTGAACTATATATATATATATATATATATATATATATATATATATATATATATATATATATATATATATATAGTTGATATCCTCTACTAAAATGCCATTCTTAATGGTATGAGTAACTTTGTAATAGACGCTTTTTTAATATATGTATTTCAGAATGTGGAACTCGGAGTCCAAATTTATATGACCCTACCATTCAACACGGCCACTTCGCCAATCCTGGAGAGTTTCCTTGGCAAGTTTCTCTACATTACAAAGGTCGATTTACATGTGGCGGTGTTTTAATTAGCCCTCAATATATAATCACCGCTGCTCATTGCGTGATGAACAGGTAAGTGTAATTTGAATTTGTTTTTCACGTAAGAAATTACAGATTTACTTAAAGAGAAAATTGCGTGTGAAAAAGAACATTTTATTATGCGTCATCTCACTTCCGATCGTTGGCGATCGCGGCTCTCCACAACTTCATATCATTTGTAGGCTCTTAGCAATATCCCTCCCCTTATATTCACCCTGTCCCCTTTTATGTCATCCGTTTACACAAGCTCGTTAGGATGGCTATTCGACACTGAGTGTCAAATTCTCCAAACCCTCTTTCCTCATTATGCATCCCAGAAATTCATTTATCTCTAATTGATTCTAAGCACAAGTGTTCCCATTCTTCCTAAAACTTTCTAATATGTTCCACCCATGATATTCTCATCATCCTTCTGTAGAGGCACATTTCTGTTGGGTCAAGTCATCTCTCCAACAATTTCATCTCCTTTGTAGCTCTTAAAAGATTTTCTCTTTTTCTTCTCTCCCCTAAACCTTGTTTCGGCATGCATTTGTTCAAGCTCGCTAGGCATGTTATGCGTTGTATTCCTTTGTCCCTCTTGCCTTCAATATGTCCTGTGAGTATCAAATTTTCCCAGTCCTCTTTCCTCATTATATGCCCTAGAAATTTCAGCTGTTTCTTTCTAATGTTAAGTATAATTGTTCTTTTTGTTTATAATTTTCTCTAAAAACTTTGTTCTTGTGCACAAGATCTATTCATGGTATTCTCAGCATCCTTCTGTAGAACCACATTTCTGTTTTTTCAGTTGTCTTCTTCATCTTTGAAGAAATTTTCCTGTATTTACTGCCTATATGGAGGATTGATATTACACTCTTCTCTTCGTTTCTGTTTCTAATGAATTTCTGATTTTTAATACTTTGCTTAGTTTTTGGAAGGCATTTTTCACCCTTCCCATGTAACCATCGAATTTTTCTTATATTTCTGCACTTGATTTTGATATTTCCAATTCGTAGCTCACAGTCGTTGTTCCTCTTATTAACAACCATAAATTCTGCCTATTTTAAATTGATCATTTTTCTTCTTCTATGTGCCGTGTCCATTCAGGACCATAGCTGATCATGGCTCTCCACAATTCCTATCCTTTTTAGGTCTTGGTAAATATTTTCACTATCCAATCCTGTTCTGCCAACCATTTAAACAAGTTCGTTCTTCTTTTTCGAGATGTGTGCGATCGTGGCTCTCCGTAGCTTCCTGTCTTTTATAGCTCTTAGGAAATTCTGTCTTTTCACTGTCTTTCCCTGATCCCTGTTCTGCCAAGCATTTACTCAAGTCAGTAAGATGAGTTATGCGCTCTTTCTTCTGCCTCTGTTGACTTCAATATGTCTTGTGAGTTTCAGATTCTCCAAGTCCTCTTTCCTCCTTATGTACCCTAAAAATTCCAACTGTCTTTTCCTAATTTTAAGTATAAATGTCCTTTTTTATTTCCGTTTTCGGTAAAAGTTCGTCGTTACCCATATGTTTGGTACATGCTTTCCTCAGCATCCTTCTGTAGAACCACCTTTCTGATGCTCCAAGTCTCATTTTCATCTGTAAGGAGATTCTCTAGCATTCACTGCCATACAGAAAGACCGATCTTACATAATTTTTCAGTGCTATTTTCTTTGTTTTTACAAAAATATCTTGTTTCTTAATACTTTGCTTAGCTTTTGAAAGGCACCTTTCGCTATTCCAATGCGCCTTCGAATTTCAGTGTCGCATTTTTCGTACTCTGATAAAACACTTTCCAGATATTTAAATTGTTTTACTTGGTTGAGTTTGGTATCACCAATTCGTAATTTACATGTTGGGGTGTTCCGTTTGCTAACAAATTTGCCTTCAGTCTTCTTACAATTGATGCTTAGTCCTTTCTTCTCACTTTTCTTCACTACATCCTGTAGGAGTTCTTGTAGTTTCTTTTCTGTTTTTAACTGTCAACACTGTGTCATCTGCATATCTTAGGCTGTTAAGATTATGCTCACAAATAATGAATCTTGGTAAGATTCCTAATTCTGTCAGAATCGTCTCACTGCATAGGTTGATGAGGTCCCGTGTGAAGTCATCTCCGTACGCATCACAGATGTCTCGATAAGCAATGGCAGCTTTGTGACTTAGATTAAAAGACACGGAGATATCGAACTTGCTCATTCTTGTCTACTTGGCATTCCATCTCAAAAAGGGTGTTTAATCGGAAATAAAATTTCAATTCCACAGAATAACCAGAGTTACTAATCCTCGACATTATTAATCTTGATTTGGCATTAATTTTTGTATAGACATTATTATAATTAGTCAGTATTATAAATTATCGACATTATTGTTCTTGATTTGGTATTCACTTATATCAATATTATTGTTCTTGATATAGTATTATGAATTATCAACATTATTATTACAGATTTGTAATTATAAATTAATGACAATTTTTATTGCTTTGATATTAACTTATAAATTATCGACATTATCATTATTGATTTGTTACTATAAATTATCAACATTATTTTTCTTGCTTTGGTATTAACTTATGAAGTATCGACATTATTATTTCTGTTGTGTCTTTTCAATAGTTTTACAATAGCAGCATTTCTGATTTCAGTGTGTATGTTTCAAATTACAATGTCTTCGTTGGGTCAAATCTTCGTTACGGCGGCCAAAGATACAATATAAAGAAAATCATGTCCAATAAGAAATTCTCCATGTTTCATCTAAGGAATGATATTGCACTATTGGAACTAGAGCAACCGGTACCAATAACGGATTATGTTCGACCAGTATGTCTTCCATCTAAGCCTTGGGTGCCTTATACAGAATGCTTTATATCAGGATGGGGAAGGGATGAAAATCGTAAGTATTCACAGTGTTAATTTTACAGCTCTGCAGTTCGAATATTCTTGCATATTACATTCTCAACGCCTTAGACCGTTGTACTCTTCGGCTGTCTTATTCACCTTTGTGTCGGTTGTCTGATTCTTCCACTGAACTAGAATATATGAAACCAAAGAATCCCGCCGTTATTTCCACGAGTCTTGAATCCACTGTATTTCAAAGGTAAAGGGAAAATTCTACTAGGCTTTTTTCCTGATACTTTATGTGACCAACTGCCATGTAGAATGCTTCCCTGAACACTACAATCTTACCCGCTTTAAGTGAAGGCTTAACTGTTATATATTCTTTTAACCTCATAATCTTCACTTCATATCACCTGCTTTTTCATTTATATCACAAACCTTGTTCTGTGTCAACATTTTAATATTAAGCCTCTATCTTTATTGCCTCTCGGACCTTGTATTGTGTGAACTTTAGTATAAAAGTAATCATTTTCTGCGCAACCAGACACAGGAATCGAACATGCAAGTGTCACGGAACACGATATGTTTTAATCAATATCTTTAGTCCGCTAGGCTAAGTGCTTGCAAACAAGCTAATGTTGATCCGATATGATGTTAGACATTCATGTGTATAAATCAGACAATTGAAGAAGGTCAGAGAATACAATGTAGCATGCAATTCATCTGAAAGGTATAATCCTAGCTACCAGGAGCAGACTCGGGCCTTACAGGGTGTCAGTGGCTACCCTCGACATTTAAACAGGCGGTCGGCACTGTTATGATTAGGATATGCACATGAGAGACAACCGAATGACAGCAAGATTTATAAGCCACTCTAACCAAAACGGAAAACACAGATTGTTTCACACATTTTCGCAGAGAAAGCCCATCAAGCCCCATATCTTAATGATGATATTAATTGACAAGACCGGATGTGAATACACAATAATCTTTAAGATTTAGATAAAAATGTTTAAGAGATTTGATTTTGTGTTCTTATTACAACAGTGTTGCAACAGTGGCCGAAACTTTGTAACATCCAAGACGAGCATGATGGTCGGAATAGCAATTCCCTCGTCTCAAAGATTTAGACAAAAAATGATTCTAGATAACCTTTTAGATTATAGTTCAGTTATGTAGATAAAAAGTTATAATCTGAACATTTTATTGAGAAATTGACATTTTTATAAAATTTGATCAAAATTATTAAACCAGCGACAAAAATTCTACGAAAAGTGTACGAAAAAATTTAACAACCAAATTTAATAATGAGTTCTACCTCCACTGGTTTTGATGACTTCAAAAATTCTTTGGGGCATGCTAGAAATTAGTGTTTCCATTAAGCTGCGAGGAATATTGCTCCAGCTTCTGAAGATAGCTTCACGAAGTTCATTTTTTGTTGAATATTGTTTGCCATTTCGATAAACATCTTTTGCCATTCATCCCCAAACATTTTCAATTGGGTTCAAATCAGGTGAGCATGCAGGATGGCTCAAAAGATGGACCCCATTTTCTTGTAGAAAGGTCAAGGTCCGGCATGCATCGTGGATTGCAGCATTATCCTGTTGGAATAACCATCCACCCCCACACAAACGATGGCCCTCCGTCACCAACGATGATTTTTGTAGCAGGCTAACATATCCAGCCGCTAACATATCCAGCCGCTGTCTGACAACCCTGCACCACCTGGAGCTCCATCGTCCCTCTGTAAGAAAAGGCACCCCAAACCATTAGGGACCCTTCAACACTATGACGTGTGGAGAAAATTTCAGGAGGCATGTTTCTGTTATGCCAATATCGTTGGAAGCCATCAGGACCATCTAGATTGAATTTTTTCTCATCAGAAAACAGGACTTTCTTCAACTTCTCGATGTCCCATGTTTGGGACATTTGTCCCATTTGTTTGCGCTTTTTATTTACCATGCCTTTTTGTCGTAAGTGTCGTCTGATGGTTACTGGACTTCAATCTGCATCTGTGGCTGCCTTAATTTGACTAGAAGAAAGTCCACTGGCTTTCACAACAACTCGTCTTATTCTTCTACTCAATGCCGGAGAAATTTTTTTTTTGGGGGGGGCTACCAGTAGACTTTGCATTTCCATAATTCGCACTGTCCTTTTAGAAAGTTGCAAATCACAGTTTTACTGCGATTTACCTTAGCTGCGGTCGCCCGCTGTGGCAAACCTTGATTATGGAAACTTCGGTAAGTTTGCTTGCTTTAGGCATGGTGACAACTTTATGCAGTGATTGCTAATCTCTAACTGAACTAAAAACATTGGAATTACCTTAGATCTAATAATTTATACCCCCTGGTATTATAATTTTGATCAAATGTAAAAACGCCTCATTTTATAAAAATGTTTTTTCTGAATAAATTGATCGTATTATAACTTTTTGTCTATGGATAACCTTTTAGATTATAGAATTAGTAACCTTAAGTAAGAAAAAATTTATAATGTATCCATGACAAATAGTCTCTTATAAAAAATTTTCAAGTGGTGTTATATATACACTCCTGATCAAAAATTTAAGACCACTTGAAAAATTTATATATATATATATATATATATATATATATATGATAACGTTACATTTTCTTTATATATGAAGAACAATTTTAAGGAAAAGAAGTATGACAAAGAGGGAAAAAAGCTTTCGTGTGACGCGGTTCACCGTTTGGGACTTCATCGGACTATATCTATGTTCACGTTCATGCTGATGTGGATTAGTGGCTAAAGTGCTCAGGACTTAATAGTGAGACACTAGCATTTATTCTTGTTGTACATGACCAAAGCCTTCTTAAACGTAACTACCAATCTAATATCTTGCATTATAATACGGACCCTACGAATTTAGGTTATGTGACCAATACATTGAAACTATTGAAATCATATTATCTTGGGATGATCAATACTCAATAAATGAGTACAACTACGTCACCGTTATGACATCCCCCAGGACATCCAAACACAGCCAATATCCTGCTACGAATATTGTCTATTTAAGCCTTTTGTTGTTGTTAATAGCTGTCTTTTATTTAATCAAGTGGAAACAACTAAAATCTTTCGCTTGCCCGTCATATGATAATAACACAAATGCAAGTCATTATTAACACTATTTATATTTGGTCTATATCTCACCATTTCAGCCAGTGTGCTCTAATGCTTTCCTCAAGTGTACATTGATCTGGGCAACGTACAAGAAATTCTGAACTGAACCCTTTTCTTAATCTACTGTTTTCATTTCACTTATGTCTACGAATAGTTCTTTTTTTTTCTTCTTACTGTCCAAGTACACACTGCACGGCCCAGAAATTGAACTCACAATCACCATGCCGCCAAATTCACGCCCCAACGCTTTAATCCACTCGGCCATCATCTCGTAGGACAATTTGCTGTACAGGTCAATGGGATCGTGGATTAAGTCCTTTAATACTTTATTTGACAAAAGTGATATTTGCATTGACTGGACTAGACATTCACACGATAGGCAATTTAGAATTTGTTGAATCTGGTGTTTTTTCAGATATTTTGCCGAGATATTGATGACGCTCTATTAACAGATACCCACAAAAATACTTTGACTTTGTAGATAAACTAAACAAAGTCGAACATAGGATAGAATTCACTTATGAAATGAAATTCTTTACCTTTCCCAGATATCATGTTACACCGTAATGACGATAGCCTAAAAGTAAGTAGACATCGCAAATCTACTAATAAGTGATCTTAGAAATTTCTATTCTCACCATAACAACAAAATAAAATCTGGAATAATCATCGGATTATATTTAAGAGCACTCAGAATTTGTATCCCTCAATATTAACAGGAAGAGGAGAAATACATTGAAAATATTTTAAGAGCCTCCAATATATTAATAATTTCATATTTAACGCAAAACAAAACGCTCATAAAATATTTCACGATAGAAAAAAAGGTCCTTTCAGACAAACCTGACGAATCAGAATATATTATTCTACTCACTAACTCTATTGCAGCTACAACTGACATGAATTTTTCTAAGCTTAACAAAATTTGCTATAACTACTTCTAAAACAATAAAAGACTTAATTATGACCAAACAAAATAATAATAACTTAAAGCAGGAATTTACTCTATCACCTGTAATAATTGTTACAAGGAATACATTGGAGAAACCTAAAGAAATTTAAATAAAATATTATATGAACACAAAAGGAATAATCTACAAAAACATCACACTCAATGCATTAATTGCTCAACGTAATGAGTTTGACTATAATTTCGATTTGAAAATGCTACTCTAATTAAAAGAGAATGCAACTTACTGAGACGAAAATGTATAGAAAGTACTTTAATTGCTAGATTAGCCATAGTTAATTTACGTCCAGTTTCCGACATTTCACCTTTCTTGGCAAATCTATTATCATAATGTTGGATATTTAATAACAAAAGTGATAAAAACATGAAAGAAAAAGTAAATGGAATCGGTTAGACTATACACCCAAACACATATATTTAAAAAAAAAAAGTACTCAAATCAATGGACACATGACTTTAGTCTGAGGAAGTCTTAAAGGACGAAACACGCCACATGAAATCTTTTCTCACTTTGTCATCGATTTCCCTCAAATTATTCTTAATATATACACAATTATATATCGTTTTCCCGTATATATATATATATATATATATATATATATATATATATATATATATATATAATATAAAATGTGTCTATATGTATATGTGCATGTTTTTGTCGATGTGAGTAAACTCGTGTAAATCTAACTTGATGCCCACTATTTGATTTTCTTTAGTCACATTTCCGGACAATCTCAAGGAGACCAAGGTTTATCTCTTGCCAAGAGATATTTGCGTAAAGCATTACAAGAACGCTGATGGATCAACGTTGTGCGCAAATCACAAGAATCCCAACCAGCCAGGATGTTACGTAAGTGACTGAATTTTAGTCAATCAATGATACTACTCATATTATAAATCTGAATGTGTGTTTATTAATGGGTACTAATAAATAATGGACTATTCCATTGTGATTGCGCGGCAAGACGGAAATGAAACACCAGAGATACTGTTTACTTTTTATGGCTTACGGCCACATCACGTTAAAACACCGGTTCCGTACGGTCCCTGAAGTTAAGCAACGTCAAGCCTGGGCAGTATCTACTTAGGTGACCCAGGTGCTGTAAGCTTGGATGTGGGATGGTGTAACGAATAATGGCTAAGAATTGTTAATCGAAGAGCCGAGTTCCAATTCCTGTTGGGTTCCTTATATTCACTTACACGCAAATGCCCTCGAATATGCATGAATCCATTTCTTCTCCCCAAGCTATGGGTTAATTAGTAAGATATGTATCCCTGAAGCTATTATTATCTAAAATTTCTAAAAAATATTTATTGACTTTAATCTGCAAAAAGTTGATAACGAATCAAGAAATCAAGCTTTTTTTTAAATCATTTCATGCTAAACAATGTAGTAAAGCCACTAAGGCATGTAAATTTACTGAGTTTGAAAGAATAAGAAAAATGTGAAACTTTATTAAGGAGGAGAACAATAGAAGAAGAGTTATCAAGAGGACAGTAGATAATAATGATTGACATTTAAATTTCTGAAGCTCAAAGGTGATTGGAAAGCATGAAGCCGGAAGAGTGCGAAAAAAGAAAGTATTAGCATAGAACTTGCGCCAACATCTAGCCATTTCAACTTTAAAACGATAAGATGAGATGAGATCCTTCTGGCAATCTTGTACTGCCCTAAAATTCATGAAGTCTCAGTACCATAAAAGAAAGTTTATCAGAAAAATTACCATCAAATTATTTATAGAAATGGCAAAGGGAAGCTACGTTACGGCGGTGGGAAAGTGACTGAAACTGAGATGCCAGGTCAGGACCAATAACATTTCAGATTCTACTTTGAATTTTATCAAGAATTACATAAAAAAGGCAAATTATAACCTCCCCATCACAATTATTCATTACAAATAAGGTTACATGACAACATTCAAAATTAAATTGTTTGATTTTTATATTTTTTATGAATGGTATTTTAAATAATTACATTTTACTAACGTTCATATCCTTAAAAATAATAGACAAAGTTAAGCCATTTAATGTTATAATTTACAGATTATTTATTTATTTGCATTTGTTTATTATTATTATTTGGTATTATAGATTTTACAAACACGAATCATTGACGCCAAACAAATTTCAAACCTATTCTATACTAAAAACGTCATAACGTGTCAACACACACACACACGCAGGCGCGCGCACACACACACACACACACACACACACGCACACACACACACACGCACACACACACACAGATTAATACAAATAAAAATTGTCATTTAGTTAACTGATGTTTTATTCAGCACACTAACGCCAGAGTTTCGTAGACGGATCTTTTTTGTAATCGTGCAGTCCACTCATCAGGAGGTTTCATCCATTGAGCATATATATATATATATATATATATATATATATATATATATGGCAGAAACCTTTCTTTTTATACATGTTCCATTGAATGTGATAGAGAATCAAACACTGAAAATCTTAAATGTTTATCTTTTTATCTTTTTGTAATTTTCTTAGTGTTTTCTTTTTGGAAGGATGAAGAAAGTGCAGAAGTTGGCATAATGATTATTGTACCAAGAAATTTCTGTTATTTCAGTAGCCATTTTTTAAGACTTCCCATATCACACACTCACTAAGGTAACGTAACGTGTAATATACCCCAATGCCAAGTTTGTAAACATGTTATTATTGATAGCATTTCACCTCACCTGGCACACATGCAATAACTCGACATTCTACCTTTTATTTAATTTTTTGCAACAAATGCAATGCAGGAAATTATATCAGTGAAACTAGTACAGGATTTTGTCTTCGCTTTAATAACTACAAGAAAGAAAACAGAGATAGCAATATCAATTTCACTCTAGCCGTATATTTCAACCAACCAGACTATAGGATTGAAAGAGCTTAAGCGAGATTGGTCTTAGTTATATCTTAAGCACAAATACATACGATTACAGTTTGCCGGCCACTGCTACCGAGCGGACAGGAAAATCGTCTCATCTTTACTCCCATGGCAACCTTCTGGAAGTGTCTTCTCACGAAAATTGACTTTCCCAGACACCATAGCTCGGGACTCAGGGTTGGATATTGGGGATCTGGGGACAACAATACAGGACCGAACAGTGTGGAAAGGTCATTGTCAATGGAGTTCCGATCAATCATAGAGAGGTCGAAGGTTGATGATGATAGGATTGATAACTTTAGATGCATCCTTTTAGCATCTTCATTTAACTGCTAATCAAATCGTCAAAAGTTCGAGTAATAATAAATTTCAACAAGTTTAAATAGAAATTTAGACATGTACAGTGAATACAGTTTTTTAAAAAAAACAAAAAAAAAAAAAACATCTGCGAACCCCTCACAAACCTAATCGTGGCAGACAACAAAAAATCATTAGATTTCATTAGAAAAATAAATCACTCTCACAAACACGGACACTATCAACACACACATTCAGAGATATTATTAATACGAAAATCTGACACCTACCAGAAAAGGCGGGTTGGAGTGGGGGTGTCATAAAATATGACCTTATATTCCTCAGCCAGATTAAAACAATTTAGACTAACTGAAATTATTTCGTATCCGCTATGCTAGGGCCAGTCGTCCACCAAAATAACCTGTTCACGAAAAAAAAAAAGAAAAAAAAAAAAGAAAAAGAAAAATCACTTTATTTTTCGTTGAGAAAGGTTACCGGCGTATCCGAAAATTTCGATTTTTCACGTTTTTCTCGTGCATCTATTTTGTCTAATAGTCTAAAAGCATTATTATTATTATTAGTAGTAGTAGTAGTATTGTTATTATGTCTTTTTGAATTTCTATCATCGGCCATCTTCATGCGCACGCATACACACACACGCATATATAGGTATATTTATATATAGATATAGTTACTAGTCACCCAATGCAAATCCCAAGAGCCACTCAATGTAGAATATTGCAGTAAGAGGTCATTGCATGAGCTAAGAACTATGTAGAATAGATAATGGTTAACCCTAGTCTTGAAGGGATTAAGATCGTCGTGGTTGGGAAATTATTCCCTCGGAAGTCAGATCTGCAAAGTAGAGATTCTTGGGAAGAAAAAGTCGAAGTGGAATTTCATTGTTTGTCATGAGATACAAAGGCGACGGTTCGTCCCAGTGTAAGTGCTATGGTGGGTCTTAGCTGTGAAGGGTGCCATGGTGGGTCTTAGCTGTGAAGGGAACTGGTAAAACTAATAAAATCTAGCTCGTCTGAACGATAAGCTTGTGACATTTTGACTGTGGGAAAGAGATCGTAGGTCGGAAAATAGTTCATCACCCACAAGGCCACATAAACGATTTTGACCTCTTATCAATACTAGAATGTGAGATAGCTCCAGCCCAGATATTGCAGCAGTACTCAATGCAATTACGCGAAAATACCCTGAAAACAGTCTTTTCGCCCTCAGCTATGGGTTGAATAGCTAGACAGACTGGATCTTTTAGCGTTGGCTGACAACCAGTCTACCGCAGAAAGAAACGGCAACCTACTGCGGGAAAATCTTCTGCCCGGTTAGTCATGAACCGAAAGAGACATGATAGCTCAAGAGTGGATCACGTATGGCACATAACTGACTGAATGACTCCATTTTTTGGTGTGATCTGATTCTTGTATCGATAAAATATAACAGGAATCAGGTACTCGCTGGAACAGTACAAGGAACCGACTATTTTCCCAGCAACGATGGATCGTATATATGTTCCACTTGAGGTTTCGAGGGAGCATTGGTTCCAATAGGGACCTTCTTCAGAGAACAATTGTTCATCATGATAGGCGAAAAGGAACATGGAACATGGAACTTAGGCGATCACGTATCCTTCGATACATCGCTGACGAGGCAGATTTTCCCCGCAGTAGGTTGCCATTTCTTTCTGTGGTAGAGCAGTTGCCATCCAAGGCTATAGAAGCCGGTCTGTCCTGCTATTTACCCATAGCTGGGGGAGAGAAGTGGATTCATATCTTTCCCAAGGGTATTAGCACGTAAGTGAATGTAATCTATTCGACTGGAATTCAGTCCGAGCCGCAATCCATTACTCCATCGTACCCGCATGGAACATTACTAGTGTTGAATGTTACAAGCTAGTTATCCCCGCCCCCTGTCAGAGCTAGTTCAGAGGAAAGATCACCTGCAAGGCTCTGGTCATATAAGACTTTTAGACGGGGCACCTATACACTGTGGTGTCTTCTGCATAATTACTCTTTTGTGTTTCAAGCGGACGCACATATATTTAGCTTTATATATGATGATTATGTTTTGTTTTTTTCAGGGTGACAGCGGTGGCCCAGTGGTGTGCCGGAATAAGCAAGGATATTTTGAGCTATATGGAATAACCAGTTATGGAAAGATCAATTGTGCTGGCCATGTCTCAAGTCCAATAGTATTTGCTGATGTGTTCAATTTACAGAATTGGTTATTGAAACGAATAGCATTTTAAGAAAACTATCAATCGTTTATTCATTTAGTAATTTTCTTATTTGAAGGAACAAAAATATTTACTAGAGAACAATATATACGAAGGTGATTTTTTTCTCTCTAAGAAAATCAACACCGCATCATTTGTCTATAGATAAGACTAGTTATTAAAGATGAACTTATATTTGTAAATCTCTTCTTCAGGGCGGTAAAAAAAGTAATAACATTGTAGACAGTTCAATGAAAAGAACAGAAGTAACTTCGTTAAGAGACAACGTTATTTAGTAAACATGTTTTTAAAGAACTATAAAATGAAACTCAAGTTCAATTAAGTAACCGAAAGGAAACTGATGTGAGCAATAAAATAGCTGATATAGCTAGGAAATATAACGAAGAAAGAATGCTTAGAGAATTTAACACTCACAGGACACAACGATAGCAAGAGAAGCAGGGAGAAAAGCAAGTAAACTACTTAGCGAGTTTGGGTGAAATAACGACAGAATGGAATGGCTGAGAGGTTTAGTAAAGTTTCAAAACTTCGAGCAACAAAGGACAGAAACTTATGGAGAGCTATAATCGCCCACGTCCTGAAAGGACATGACCCCCACCTACACCCCCCCAAAGAAAAAGGAACGTGAAACATAAGATGAAATATAACTACATCATTGTCTACTTCGGATATGAGCAAAGGTGCGTCAAACAAGAAAACGGGTTATTCACTCTGGTATACAGATAAAAAAGTTGTAGATCTGTGATCGCCCACGTCCAAGAGGGATTTAGTACGTAAGTATTTGATTAAAGTGTAATGTGTAATTGAATGACAAACTGAAAAATGTCCTACATTAAGTGTTTGGTCTATCCTTTATCCCTCTATCGTTTACCACCCCAAGCGATCATGGCCCTCCACAACATTCTGTCATTTACCGCTCATTTTTATATACCATATCATTTTGTCGTACAATTAGATACTGTTCGTGTGACATCATTTTTTTTTACCTTATGTATCATAATGTATTATAAGATAGACAGATAGGTAATGAACAGAGTGAGATAGATAGATAGATAGATAGATAGATAAGATCAAGGCAAAAATACTATTCTACTTGTTCTCAATAATCCTGTGCCATAACAATAGTAATTCAATTTAAATAATCTTTTGTGAATTAACTTAGTACTTACTTGAGATAAAATCGAATCTTTCTGCCATTTTGAATCTAATCATATAATAGAGGTTGGGGGTTTTATTCAAAAGGGATGAATTTAAAACCGGTGGGTTATATAAATATATGAAATGTTTACAATCTTTTTCAACCGGTGGTGATTTGCTGTATATCTATCATTTACAATTAAATAAAGGTTGTTAAACATCTCTGGTGTTATTTTGAAATAAAAAAAGAAAAAAAGTTTTTTACTCATCGTCAGTAAGAAGAATTGAATGTGTAACATTTGACTTACTACCTGCATTTGAATTGACAATAAAATATATCATCGTGTATCGCAATGCAATCTTTTTCTTTTTAATTAATTATTTCTGAAATATTGAAAAAAAAAGAAAGAATAAGTGGTTACTGAAGCGTCATAAAATGATAGGAATTTTTTTCACTTTCATGAAAAAATTTGCTTTCGTAGATTCGCACTCATAATCCAAAGTACCTTTTCTATATCTATTTATTACTTGAACGTTATTTTTAATGGATGCCCATATTTGAGTTAATGTCTAAGTAATAAAATCTGTCGCATTAATAAATAAAAATCGATCAATTCTTTAGAAATTGCATCTATCTATCTATCTATCTATCTATCTATCTATCTATCTATCTATCTTTTTTTTCAATCTTTTCACCCCAAGCAAGACAATAAAGCCACTACGACGCAAAGGGTGTGCTGAGTGTGAGATAATATTGAGCAGAGAGAGCAATAAAAGAACAGGAATTAAGACGACAGACGATAACGACTGCCATTGCATTTAAATTTTTGAAGATCAATGTTGACTGCAAAACAAGAAGCTGGAAGAGGGTTCTACAAGTGAGAAATTCGAGAGAAGAAAAATGTTGGAATAGAACTTACGGTTACATCTGGCCATTTCAATTGTAAAATGATGATGTCATGCCGTCAATCTAGCACTTCGTTTAAATTCTTAAAGTCTTGGTACCATCGAGGAATGTTGATTAGAACAGCACTTAAAGTATTTATAGAAAAAGCAGAGCGAAGCTACATTACGGCGAGGGGAAAGTGACTGAATCCGAGATGTCAGGTCAGGACCAATAATATTTTAGATTCTTCTTTGGATTTTATCAAGAATCTTTAAATACATAGGAGAAGCATCAAACCAAATGTAGCAGTAATATTCATTGCATGAACGAATGATTTATAAATGACTTGACTTGTATCGGTTTTCACCCTGGTCGGGTTGAACCGGTTTCCTCCCGAGCAAGTACAGCATCACGGACCATCGCTGCCCACGCTCGCCGATCCTGAGCCAGGTTACACGAAATGGCGAGCCAATCGCGATTCCATCGTCGAAGACCAACTACTTGTAGACCCGATAGTACTGCTAGGTCATCCTTGATTGTGCTAGCCCACGTCCTCAGCTGACCACGTTTTCGCCAGCCAGGAAGAGAAGGAGGGAGAAGTATATCGCGGATGAGCTCTCCCTCCGGGTGTCGAGCTGCGTGCTCGAACCATCGGAGACGACGCTGGAGCAGGATAGGTGGAAGAGGACAGAGACTCAAGCGACGACGTAGAGTGGCTGTGGGCACACGATCGATTCGGCGGCATCGTAGAATGCAGCGAAGGCAATCGTTGTCGAACACTTCAAGTAGGTCAACCGCTCTAAGTGGCCACGTTTCGCAGCCATAGAGAAGGATAGTCCGAACAATAGCCGTGGAAATCTCCCGTTGCCCCCATAGTAACCGCTTGGGACGCACGAATGCGGACCTTGCAGCTCCTATACTGCGTTTAACCTCAGCAACAGCTTGCCCGGATGGTATAATGGTTGAACCGAGATAGACGAAAACTGCACGTCCTCCAGATTGACCCCATCCAGCCTCAGTGGCTGCCAGTTGACTGGATCAACCAGGGACAGCATAACTTTGGTCTTCGAGGCATTGATGGTCATACCCACATACCGTGCTGCAGCTTGCACACGGTTGAGCGCAGCTTGCACACAGTTGAGCGCAGCTTGCACATCGTCACAGTTCGATCCGTCCAAGACAATGTCGTCCGCGTAGGCCAGATCACACACCCTGATATTCCGACCAACCGCAACTCCAGCGTAGTCCTGATGGGCCTTGCCGAGGATGTAGTCGATTGTATAGTTGAATAAGGTAGGGGATAAGGTACACCCTTGCCGCACACCAGTCTTCACCTCAAACGTCTCCGGCTCCTCACCATAAGCATGAACACGGGCTCGCGTCGACCGATAGTAGCCCTTGATGAGACGAAGGAGTTTAGTGGGCATGCCATCGGCCTCCATGATACGCCAGAGTGAGCCTCTATCAACGGAGTCGAAAGCAGCCGCAAAGTCGACGAAGCAGAGGACTGTTGGTTGCTGGTATGCCCAGTGTTGTTCGAGGGTGCGCCGCAGGCTGAAGATCTGATCAACACAGCCCCTGCCTAGGCGGAAGCCACCCTGAGACGGGCGAGTTCGCAGATCACGGATGCCTTGAAATCTTCGCAGGAGAAGCACTGCAAATACTTTGGCCACCACATCGATGAGGCTGATTCCTCTGTAGTTCGAGCAGAGTCTCCTATCACCCTTTTTGAAAAAAGGTAGTAGGATGGCCTTGCTTCAATCGGCAGGGTAGGTCTCAGAGAGCCAGAACGCATTGAAGACACGATGCACCCACGAGGCGAATACATCTGGCACGGCTTTATATATTTCTGCAGGTATACCATCCTCACCAGGAGCCTTGTTGTTACGCAGACGGCGCAGAATATCTCGCACTTCATCTACCGTTGGGGGTGCAGTGTTGCAGTCGTATTCGTCGGTCGGTTCAACGGCCACTTCCGTCGCCGAAGTCAGATGATTGAGTAGCTCGTTAAAATGCTCTTTCCACCGATTTAGCGGCTCGCCCAGACCTGCGATAATAGCACTATCACGGGAGCGAAGCGTCTCACTCGCCCCCGTAGTTCCGCGACTCGCCCGCCTCACCATCTGGTAGAGTTTGCGAGAGTGACAACAGGCTTCTGCACGCTCAGTCTCTTCGGCGACGGTGCGCCAATGCGCATTTCGGTCAGCGCGGATGGAGTGAGTTGCGCGGCGCCGTAGATCGCAAAATTTCGCAGCTCCTGTCAATCGCGCTACCCTCGCCTTCTCCACCAGCCGAAGGCTCTTCCCGGTGATCCAGTTCCGATATTGGTGACGGGTGACACCAAGATGAGCGATAAAACTAACAAGAATATGAATAATGCTAGGGCCTCCGCTGCATGTGTATCCGACGCGCCGGTCTTCTGGTCGGCGAGACCGCTGAGAAATCAGCAAGCCACCACAGTCCTTGCAAGAAGAGATGTGATGAAGATTGCTGCCTGGAATGTCTGCACTCTTCACGGCGAAGGAACGCAGTCTCTCACCGCTAGGACTCTGTACAAGTATGGTGTTTGTGTCGCAGACTTATAAATATGTAAGATATATTCTGATAAGAAAAAGTGAAATGACTTTCCTAGCAGCAGACTTATCAATTGAGTCGATATAATCGTTTCATTTCATGCTAGCGGAAAATGTTTGCTCGAGGATGGTCATCAGCAAAATGGTTCCCTCAGACGATTAAATGAGAGAAGTTTTGGAGGCGTTAAAATTAACATGCCATTCTTTGCCCCAGTTAAGAACAGTTTTTTTTTTGTATGGTGAAATTCAATGATTCAAATCTGCTTCCTATCAGACATTTGGTAGATTATTAATGGTAAGAATGCAAAAAAGAAATTCGATTATTGTGGGAAACTTTCACTGTTATACTGCAAATATTGATCTCTGACGTTGCAAGACATCGTAACAAAATAGAAGGCATTACTTTCGGATCATCTTTCAAATAATAATAATAATAAGCTCTCGAGTAAATTTCTGTCAAAAGCATAAATACTGTTATTACTCGCTAATATATAAATATAATAAGATGAACAATAAGAACAACAATAAAAGCTAATCGCCCAGACATCGTTATCAAAGTCCATAAAAACAGAATGTGCTTTCTTATTGATACGGCTGTCCCTGCAGATTGTAATGTATTTTTAAAGATTTTCCAAAAACTATCAAAATACAAGGATCTTGAAATGAAAATCTGAAAAAATGTGGGATAAGAAAACATCATTAATTCCAGTTGTATTTGGTGTCGTCGGATTGATTGGAAAAGGTTTTGATAGACCCATTGAAGGCATCCTTAGTAGCCAATGACTTAAATAAATACAAAAAAAACATTGTTCTCACAAGTACAACTCACACATTACGAAGGGCTTTATTGATGTAAAATACCTGTGTTCTTACGTTGTTTTATTTATGCTTTATATATCTGAATTAGTTTTTCTTTTTTTCTCAGTGATAATGTGTTGCCATAATAAATTTGTTCAGCTATGGCTCTTCTTTCTGGGTGAGGCTTAGAACTTTTAGAAGGGCTCTCGTAAATACAATGTCAGTCATTATAATTTACTGTTGCATAGGAAAGGGAGTGTTCAGTACCATGTACTCAGAGATTTCCTTCGGTGTCATACTTTTACAGACACTTTATGCTCGGGTTTCTGTTTTGTCCATTTTTAGATTTGTCGCACACCTCTCACCTTTGTATGGGCCTCACCTGCACAGAAATTTGAATTTCATCTATGGCTCTTCTTTCTGGGCTCGGCTTAGAACTTTTTGAACGACCCTCGTATGAACATTTCAGCCCACCTTCGTATTTAATTTATTTCTGATGGATTCATGTGCAGAAGTAAATGTAAACTCCGATTTTTCTAAGACGCTATCCATTCCACAACCTGTACATCCACAATGTATACAACCATTTTCTCCACTCAATGATTAGAAATGGCTTCCAGGGAATGAAGCCTGTAGGTCTTAGTGAGGACCATCATTTCTTCGAGCCTCGTGAACTGGCGCTACAGAATCACAAAGTATTGTAGTAAATAACAGAAACTACATCACTTGAAAATTGCAGTAGCAGCAACAACTAAAATGGATGGCGCAAGTAAGAGAAGAGAAAATAATAATTTAATTAAGATTGACGTTCTATATGACTCCAAACAAAAGGTTAGAAAGGAAGCCACCATTCGTAATAGAAAGAGCGTTAACAGAGGACTTGAGGAATCTATTTTCATCAATAGAAAGATTTGATCATTTTCAACCGACAGTAGGACAAGCTGCTCGATTGCTAAATGCAAAATGTTTCTTAATAAGGAAACGATTAATATTAACATTGCCACTAGAGATTAGGAGAACAAATACTACACACTGATCGTAAACCGATTGCAAGGGAGTGAAGAAAAGTGTAACTTGAGTTGCACTTACTGCTCGGTCACTAACTGCTGATTGTTTCCGTATAAGGAAAAGTTTAATATTATCATTACCAAGAGGGTTTAAGAGAACAGATACTACCCACTGATCCCAGCTGGATGACGAGGAAGTGAAGAAAAACGCAAGTCGAGTAACACTGACTGCTCGGTCATTGAATAAGGGAAAGGCTAATCTTACCATTACAATTACAATATGCAATTATAATCATTAGCGATTTTCTGTTATTTTTGTTAACAGATGGCCCCTTATTATCTGTACGTACATGTTCAAGCGCTTTTGACAATCAAAAACATTTGTCACATTTTCAAGAAGGGAAATATGGTTTTGAAATTCAAGAAAACTTTATGCATTTTATTATTATTATTATTATTATTATTGCATGTGTTGCTTTGAAGGAGACTGAAATCACGTTTTAATCATAATGATGATATTGTTTACGACATAAGTAAATTACTTTCCTCGGTGTGAAAGCGAATGCAGCGGGAAAATAATTCATCGTTCTCATAACAACGAAAACGCTTTTAAACTCTATGAAGGCTGGAAAGTGAGGATTGACCATTTCATTTCTACTCCAATAGAATAGATTAGTCGGTTGATTTTGGTTAGCGGCATATCAACAACTCTATGGGTTATTTAATGCCGAAATCTAAATATTTTAATGCAATTTTATGTCTTTAACTACATATATTTTCGTTTGGATCAGTCTCGTGTGGATCAGACTTTTCTATAAAGTTGTTAACAGCTACATCTTCGAGTGTCATCTGCTTTTTTGTCGTTTTTTATGTTCATTAAAATAACTAACTGAGCATTGGACAGCTTATAAAAACACGAATAACATTCTTTTTTTTTTTTGTTTTTTCCATAAAATGTATAGGATATCGTCTACGATAGAATCAATTTTGAGGGGTCATGTTTTCACGAATTCATTTGAATACATCCAAACTTTAAACCTAAGCCAATACTTCTTTTGACAATGTATTCTTACTCATTTCTTATAATGGAAAGCTGCGCCTTGAATTGTATTATAATAAATTAATTACACCTTGGAATCCGATCAAAAGAGGTCATGAATAAAACGATCCATCTTGTTTTAATGCTTCGTCTCTTCAGGACGTAAGCATTCATGGTTCTACACAGCTTCATTTTATATATTATCTATTATCTGGGAATTGTCATGACTTTCTGGTAAAAATAATGAAGTGGTTTCCCGTTGTCTTCTTCACAGTTTAGAATTAAGAGTTTTCCTTTTCTTAGATTGGTTGCCACACAACACTAGAGTATTATAGACGTGTAACCAGTATGTAAACCTATATATATATATATATATATATATATATATATATATATATATATAATAAGTTAACGCATGGATAAAAACAATTCTTTCATCTATTTTCTACACATTCTGAAGGATATATAATTTTGTATCGGGATTACCATGAATTCCTTTACAACTAGGTGATAGCAAAATATATTATCTTTCAACAATAATCCGTACAGAAATAGGACGTTCCTTTCCAAATATTTTTGGAACTTAAAAGAAGTTAATAAAACCCCTGCGGTAAAATGTAAAAAAACTAGAACTTGTAAATCTTTAAATGAACCTTGTTTCTTATGTTTATATGAAAAATTACAAATAATCAAATTTGCTGACATAAAAGCACTGTTAAACGAAAGTAGTGAATTAACTGTAAATTGCCGACACAGTTTATCTTTATCTTAAAATATAGCTAATTTTTTTTTAAATTGCGCATTACTATTGTCGCCCAACACGTGGCTGATCGATGAAAATCGCTTCGATCTCAGACCTGCCTTATTTTACGTTGTGATTTGCTTTCGATCATAAGGAGGCCAAGATCGAATCGTCTCAAGTATATTCGTATTGGACTGGTCCAAGCAGAGAAAAAATAACGTACAGAGAAAAAATAAGCCTCAAATAAATTGAAAAAAGTACATACATTTTTATATTAGTCCTTCCTACAATAATTGGTTATATCAAGAGTTCGCATGAAAATGATTATCAGCTCAACCAGGCGCCTGTTTTGACTTGGTAAAGTTTGTTTTGCTGATTTGGTAAAGTTCGGAACTTGTCTTGTCTCGCGCATTCGTATTTATTGACGTCACCCAAACAGACGTGGGGCACGGCGCAGTAGGAGAATTCGGTCTTTCCCCTGGCTGTCGGCTTACCACATAAATTTGGGAATTCCCTTTTTCCACTTTCTCGTAGTAACACCTCCCACTGAACCTCCTCAGTGAGCGTGGGTAGCTGTTCTACCTTCCTTGGTGTCTCGTCTGCGCCTGCCACTTCAGCCAACTTCCGACCGGGAAAAAATAATTCTAAGTTCATTGTTTACGAAATTAAGTTTCCCATTCACAGCTCGTATTTTCAGCTGTGCGTGATACGTGTCAATCATTATTGCTCTCTTGGCCTGTCGCATTTTCCATTGTTCAAAACTCCGACACACAATTCAGGTAGCCGTTTATATGAGAATTAAAATCGTCAATTTTTCCCACGGATTTTATGTATTAACACTTCTTGTTCCAAGGTCTATCAGTATATCGTTCCCCCTGTACATAAAAAAAAAACTTTCTTATGTTTTACCGCGGTAACAACAAATATTATCACGCCATTTTTATAGCCATAATTTATTAGTATATAATGGTCCATCTCCTACGCGTATTTACCTTATTTTGTTTATTCAGCTTAAATATTGCTATGGATTGCCGTCCAGTTAGTATTATTAATATCGTATATAGATGTTCCACATTTTTATCTACAGGGGCATTTAAAAAGCTTCCTAAATATAAACTTTTTTTTCCGGTTAATTTTACGTCTGATTAACCCGCTCCTCCCTTCAACAAATTGAACATATCCTATTTGTCTGCAATCACGATACATTTGTCACTGGCATATTTTCCGCAATCGTCAATGATGACATGTCTATGCCCCGGTTTATCATGATATAAAAATATAACTCACCCACCTCCACCTACTTACTTTTCTATATAACATTTTATTGGTTAATCAAAATGTACCCACAAGTCTATTTTTAATTCTGACCTTATGTCCTCACCTTTAACTTTCAGAAAAGAGGTAACACTTTTTTTTAAACTTCCTTAAAAGTCATTTAATCACCAGTTACCTATCATCGCCTGAAGAAGTAAAATGATAGTATTGAAACATGAAAGCTTTTGTGTAGCGATTTCAAAATATTTTTATTATATATATATATATATATATATATTTGTATAAGATTATAATCTTATTATATTATTATAATCTCTTATATATATATATATACACACACACACATATATATATATATATGTAAAGGCACTACTAAAAATTCTCTAAATATATATAATATATATATAATATTATACAAATATATAATACATATTTACAATATTAATATATATATAATATATATAAATATATAATATATATATATATATATATATATATATATATATATATATATATATATATATATATATATATATATATATATATATATATATATAAACCTATATATGTAAATATTATATATGTAAACCTATTTCCAAATATTCGCTAAAAATTAAGCGTACATGATGAAAAACTCAACCAAGCTTAATAAAGACAAAGTTTTATCGTCAAAATTATTACTAAGAGGAAAGATCATAGGATTTTTTGTTATTAAATTATATTTTAAATCCTTTTTAGGACAATCAAAATTTTGGTTAATTTATTTTCTTGCGTGAGCCGGTGACTATAAATTAGTATTTTGAACCCCACACTTAATTATTTTTACTAAATTTCGAGAAATTCATTTTCGTCGTGCTTAAAGGTTATATTAAGTATAAGCATAAATCTCTAGAGAATTTTAATCATCATTTGTTTTCTAAAATAGGACACTTTGTTACCGAAAATCTGCTCTGAATTGTAAAATAAAAAAACTAAGACTCTTTTTAATTAGAAAAGCATTTAATTGCTTTTGTGAATCAGATAACTTACACTACTGTCCTAAGAAAAAATATTTTCGATGCATAATGAATTGTTACAATAATTTTTTTTGATTTTTTAAAAATTTTAATTGGAATAATTTATAAATTTAAAAATCTTTTACAATTAAATTTGTAGCGGTGAGGTGATATTAAAAACAATATTTACTAATCATAAAGGAAAAACTTAATTCAGCGACCATCAGTATTTTAAAATTTTTTAAAAAGAAATTTTTAAAAAAGAAATTTTTCGTTATATCCCAGATTGATGCGCTAAACAAAAACGAATGAGAATAAAAAAAAGTGTATTTTAACATATAATAAAGTAACTTTTATTTATTTACTACCTGAGAATAGCAAGAATTATTTGGTTTTAAACCATGAGTTACACGTGCGCATCACCTTGTCACCATGTTGAATTTAGAATTTCTGCGGTTCAGCTAGCAGACAAGGGAGGTAACTCAACTGTATTTTGAGTTATCTTTATAGTGGGAGTAACTAAGCAACTCCTAACGCTTCCACTTTTTAGCCTTGTGTCCGTATGACTTTTGTCAGGGATTTAATTGCACTGGGTATGGCGTACTTCGTAATCGATGGGATTTCTTTTGTATACTTTTTGCTGGAGTTTTATCTTTTGTCCTTGGCATCAATTGGGAATTTTGTTGTAGCAGTTCAAAGGTGATCAACAGAATGTCCAGCGGTAAAGTGGGGTTTAATTTGGTCTCTGGAAACTTTGATGGCTGTAACTGGTTTGCATGTCGAACCCAGACTGAAAACTGTATATCCATGTCATACGTAACATTTCCAGAGTTACGTATAATGCGTCCTTGGATCTATTTTTCCTTACTGTTTCTGTCATCTTTTGCAAGTACATGTTGTCCTGGTAACTCAACAACTTTACGGTTCATCAGTGTATCTGCTAGTGAATTTCCATGAGGTGCATTTGTATTGGGTGTAGCTCTGTAACTTCCAGCGAATATTTCTAATATTTCTTGCGTGGTTCCCTCTCCTTTGACTTTGAGAAATGATCGCTTAAAATTATCTACAAAATGATCCACTTGTCTATTTGATTGTGGATGCTGTGGGACTGGTCCAAGCAGAGAAAAAAATAAACCTCAAATAAATTGAAAAAAGTAAATACTTTTTTATATTATTCCTTCGTACAATAATTGGTTATATCAAGAGTTCGCATGAAAATGATTATCAGCTCAACCCGCGTCTAAATTGGAAGTGACACTGTTGTTGACTTGGTAAAGTTTGTTTTGCTGATTTGGTAAAGTTCGGAACAAGGGTGATGTCGGGCGTTCTTTCGTCGACTGAAGATTTGTTTTAATTTAAGAATTGTTACATCTGAGGTGATGCAATTCATCTGAAAAAAATTCTGGCCATTTTCTGTATGCGCCACCGTGGATAAAATAATACTGCTCTTTGATGGGTTCAGCAAAGTCAATGTGAAAGCGTGACCAGGGTAATTCAAGGATAGTCCAGGAGCTGAATGTAGTATTACTGGGAGTTATTGCTGCCAGTTGGCAATTAGACCACGTGCATACCAATTCCTCCAACTGTTTGTCCATGTTCGGCCAATAAACTTAGCTGCGTCTTAGGGATTCCATCCGGTTAATATCTTGATGACCATAATGGAATTGCTTTATCACTCTTTCATGTCATGAAGATGGAACAATAGCGCGTTCCGCTAAAAGAATACATCCGTCGATTTCTGACAATTAAGATCGACGCTGAAAAAATGGCTGAATTCTTTTGGCAGTGCATACTTCTGACCATTTTGTACGATGAAGGGACATCACATTTTTAACATTGGACACTGCAACTTCGCGGATCATTATAGAAGTTACTGATAATGCTCTTACAGTGGATGCAAGCAATGAAGTGACTTTATTTTGTGAAGTCACGAGCCGAGATAATGCATCGGAATAACCAATTGTATTTGTTGAATTATATTTTATAAAACGTTATAATCTAACAGAATAGTAGCCCATCTCTGCAGACGGTTTGATGTATACACTGGGATGACTTTTTACATCCAAAAATACTGACAAGAGGCTTGTGATCTGTGATTAGAACGAAATGAGGTTGTGGGACTTTTTAATAGTAAAGACTATTGCTAATGCTTCTTTTTCAATTTGGCTATAATTATGCTCTGTCCGTGTCAGTGATCTGGATGCATGAGATATTGCTTTTGGCTGCCATCAGGGATAATGGAAGAAATGACAACTTCAATACCATAATTAGAAGCATCACTGACCACCACAATATCTATGGATGGGTTGTAGCCTTGTCAGCAAAAGATTGGAAGAAAGTAAGGAATTTAACTGTTATTTACCCATAGCTGGTGGAAGAAGAAGGGTATTAGCACATAAGTGAATGTAGTGGATTCGACTGGAATTCGAACTTGACTTGGCTATCCATTACTCCACCGTGCCTCCACTGCAATACGAGCCGTCAACTCGCCGACATAGTCCCAGGACAGACGCACCTAATGAAGGTAGAAGGCGTGTGAAGGCGTTTCTTCTAAACCAAGGTCAAACCAATGACAAACGAGTAAATCAGCCCAAGCCTCATCTGAAGGCTACATTACTGAGAGATAGTACATTCCGAATCAATCGTCGGGTAAGCGAAAATTCAATGTTGTTGAGATAATTCGTCTTTGGCGCCCAAGACAAGAAAGAGCGCAACTTGGTCACTGACAATCCCAGCTGCTCATAAAGTGAGTCCGATTCGACCCCCTCGACTAAAGCCGGATACAAGACCTTCCTAGGCCGTGAAAGGTCAGTGGGCCGATGAATCACCTTCAATCACCTCTTGACATTCTTTGAAGAACGTCGATTGTTTCCGGGATTTACGCTCAGCCCTAGAAACCAGGGAAGTTATGGTAAGGCAAAGGAAGGGTTTCCTAACACTCCCCTCCAAGATCGAATCTTCCGTCAACGCACGGCATTAGAAAACCCACCTCGAGGCCCGTCAGTTATACACCAAGTGTGACATTCCCAGAATCCCCTCCCCCCGACACAGACGCTGGGCAAAATCAACTCTGCAAACCTTTTGCTCGCCACCACCCCACAAGAGGGAGGAGAGCAAGTGCTCGATCGCCTTCCTTGTAGTTCTTGCAGAGAGGGAGAACAGACAACTAGTAAAGGATAAGAGAAAAGATGTATGTGCCCTACCCTTTAAGGAAAATCGCCTTCGGAACCAAGTCCGGACCGCCGACCTACCTTTGTCTGTGCCTCTAGCCAATGCTTATCCAGCTGTAGATCGGGCCCGAACCACACTCTAAAAATGCGGACGAGTCCGTCAGTCCAATTGAAGTGGCCTGGAAGAGCAACGCCCTTCCAAGCACATAGCTGCAAGCCGGAAGACTTGTTGCGGTTAATCTTGGCATCCGTGACCTTCTCGTACCGTTCAAGCGCCTTCTGTACCAATTCATTGCCGCTGCAGCAAGACACGAAAATGGATACGCCATCAGCCTACGCAGAAACCCTAGGTCGAGCCCTACCAGGGACAGCGATTCCACGTAGGGCTGGACTACACACCCTGTCTCTTCGCCGGCGATAAAGAAACTCAAGAGAAATCAATGAAATCACAGGCGCAAATTTTTTTTTGCGGGGGGGGGTCTTTGTTTAATTAAGTTGAAACAACAAAAATCCCATCCTTCGCTTGTCCTAATAGTAATTGGCATGTGATTATAAAACAAACGAAGATCAAAAAGAATTTCTTTAATAATAATAATAAAAATAAACAGTCATGGCTCTCATGTCTTCTGATCTTAATTGATTGGAGCTGTTAATATGTACAGGTTTTGTGTATTAAGATGGGCTACAGTAAATATCTTGTTCAGTACTCCAGAGAATTTTTTTTTTCAGTTGCCTGCCTATAAACAGTTGGGCGTGTTCAGCTAGGGGCTGACGAATCTGTCCATGAGGGGGTTTAGTAGGCGAGCATCATGACTGTGTATCATGAATTTTGTTTTTAATTTCGAAGGATGAAGCAAGCAAGGCGGCTTGGGAGCATCTTCAATCGGAGACCGACTCGTTGCGCCTTCTCGGGCTAACATTTTCGCTCTGGCATCATGTAAAAAGATTATATTGAATCAAATGCCAGGAAAGTTGGTTCACTGTGTTGTTCTAGACAATTTTTCTCGCCCGAATACATCTTACACATTTATAAGTCTACAATTCATCTATGTTTAGAATATTGCTGCCACATATGATCTGGTGTATATAATTAGAGATTCTTCATAAAATCAAAAAAATAATCTGCAGTGTTATTTTTCCTGACCTGGCATGTCGGTTTCAGTCACTTTCCCACCACCGCTACTTAGTTTGTCTTTTGTAAACTGCAGAAAGATCATTTCTGGTCGTAGCCCAACAATAACCAGCCAGCATTTTGCATCCAAATTATAGTTGGTCGTCGTTTCCTACAAAAGGTGTTATATTTCGCATTTGAGATGCAAACGTAACTTCACCACACACAGCAGAAGTTACCGGCTATGTTCAGACATTCACGGGGCGTTTTTCACAGTTCAGTTAAATGTCTGAAAACCTGAGTGGAAAGAATAGTAATAATTAGTTTACTTATATTATTTACATTATTCGGACTGTTATCCCCATCTTCATTGCCATATTCACAACGTTTCAGCCGTTGTACACTCCGGCCTTCATTAGGTGATTGAAATTTCGAACCAAACCCTTTATTTCGTCCACCGGGGTAGATTGTTCTAGTTCCACATACCAGGCCTCTTCTGGCTGTCTCAGTTATTTCTCCTTAACTCAACTCTCCGAGTTTTGGTTCACCACTGCTGTAGCCTGGTACTGAACTCACAACTCTTTGGGTCTAGTCACTGGATCTAACCAACGCCTTTATCCCCTCAAGGACAATTTTGTTGAAATATTCATATATAGATAGTACCGTATCTTGATTTCTAGTGCCAATCAACAATTTTAAATATCATTTTTATTTTAATTCCTTCTAAATTATCTAAGATTAGCTATTTTTATTTTTGAAGCTTTCATGTTGTAGACCAGTGTTATCATAGCCCGGCCGAAACATCAAATAGTTGGAGGATATCAAATGAAACTGTAATATTATAATAATAATAATAATAATAATAATAATGCGTGTACTTGGTGTATCTTCATCAAACTGGATATGATAAGTATATTGTATTTTATATATTTATAACCCGGCGTCACCTATTTTGTGTGCTGGTCTATCACTCAAGATTTACTGCTAATAATCTTTCTTTCATGGATAGATGTATTAAGGAAATAAGTTTTAAAAGTAAGAGCTATAAACACGAAAATATTTTTGATAGTCATTAATATTTCCGGTGTTTAAAAACATAAGCCTATGTGTTCGTTCAGTTAAACTGGTAACGTCATTCTTTTTCTTTGTTGGTCTCTATTCAAAAGTATGTCACCTTCCACTTCACACTTGAATAATAATTTATACTACTGTTCGTGATGGTAGAAGGCGAGTCTACACACGCATTTCCCTGTATTGCTTTCTTAATCATTGGCCAACACCTATTCAGACACGATCTACTATCAGGAAAATCAGCAAATAAATTTCCCCACTATGTATTGGCTACCATAACATATATTTAAAAAACAACTTATTTTTATCACTTTATCTGCCAAGCGTTTCGAACATTTTGTACACAACGAAAGCAGAAAAAGAAACAGGTAATATTACTGTTCATTCGTACTTCTTAACTTTAATATAAATCTTTAAAAGCTTACAAAAAATTGCTATTATGAAAATGAATTAAAATCGATAGATAATGTTTCCAATCAAAATTAAATGATTGAATGAAAAAAATTAATGGTTAATTTTTTTTAATTTAATTTATTTTTAATGTTTTTATTTATTTATTTTTTTTGACATAAATGACTTATAGTACATAGTCAGAGAGATTGTTGTATCTATTAATTAAAAAATGTTGTATATTCTTGCGTCAGGAATGGACTAGTTTATCGATATGTTCTGTTGAATTGCCAATTTACAATTTTTGTTTTCAAAACGAAAAATGAAACAACTATTCATGTAAACATTTTTTAAAAAAAAGGTTCTTTCTTTTTTTTACATATTTAAAGAAAAAAATATCATATTAGATTTAAATATTCTTCTTTCTTCTTCTTCTTTTACGTGTCGTGTCCTTTTAAGAACATGGGTGACCATGTCGCTCCACAGCTTTCTATCATTTATAACTCTTAGTAAGGATTGTCTTTTTGCTATTATTACCCCTCCCTGTTCTGCCGGTCGTTTATATTAGGTAGGTTATTCACTGCTGTTTCCGCACCACGTTGTCTTCAGTGTGTCTTGTGAGTGTCATATTTCGCAAGCACTCTTTCCACGTTATGTGTCTCACAAATTTTTTGCTGACACTTTCTGGTTCTCATTATAAGTGTATCTTGTGTTTCCATTTTCTTGACTTTCTCTGCACATGGTATTCTCAGCATCCTTCTGTAGAACCACATCTCCGTTACCTCAAATTTTCTCTTTATCTGTGAAAAAATTGTCCAGTATTCATTTCTCTATAGAAAGATCAATATTACATAACAGTTCAGTCCCCATTTCTTTGTTTCTAACGAATTTTTCGTTTTGGATGGAAACATTCGCTGTTTCGAATTTCGGTGCTACACTTTCTGTCCCCTGTTAAAACACTTCCGAGATATTTAAATGTTCTTATTTGTTTGGTTTTAGTGTTTCTAATTCGTAGTTCATATCTTGGACTGTTCCCTTTCCTGATAATCATACAATTTTTCTTACAATTGGTATTTAGTCCTTTCTTCTCGCTTTCATTTACTACCCCGCCTATTAGAGACTCTGAAGTTTTTATTCTGTGTCTGATAGCAACACTGTCATCTGCATATTTTATGTTGTTAAGAAAATGACCGCCATTAATAAATCATGATAGGATTTCTAATACTCTCAGAATCGCTTCATCGTATCTAAAGATTGAATAAGTCCGGTGAGAGGACATATTCTTGTCTTAAACCCCTTTGTATTTTTGTATATTTACTGAGTTCATTTTCTATCCGTATGAAGGTGGTTTGCTCCCCATGTAGGTTCTGGATTATTTTAATTTCTTTTTTCAAAATAAATCAAGTTTACTCTACCCAGTGTTATTCTAAACCTTCCGTTTATTTTCCTAATTTTTCCAACTTGTATGTTTATTCTAAACTCTCCGTTTATTCCAAAATTATATCCCTCTATTTTTGGCCTTAAAACCAAATTAAATTTGGATGAATTTTCCAACCTACGCTTTTATTCCAGTCTCCCCTTCTATACCGGATTTAAGCTCGCGAATAGGTACGTGTGCAGAGAAGAAACTATATACACGGATGATAATTTTGCTCGAATCCGTAGAATTATTTGGTTTTTGTCGTTACTTTTTTTTTGTTATTTTTCCGATTTAATTTCTTTTCGATAAGCCATTTTTATAAATATTTTGTACTTTTACTTTAGTTGAATTTTAGTAGATTTTTAAATTTGTAATATAGCAAACGCACGTCGCAAACCTTGTTTAGCTTTGAAGTGGTACGATAACACACACATTTTAAAAATATAAACACGAATATTAAAAGCACATAAATCTGTTTCTATAAAATAAACAAAACGTTTCTATGTCGTTCAGGAATTTAAAAATTTTACAGATTAAATAAGATTTTTAAATTTACGCTGCAACATAATTTAAAAAAAATCATTTTAAAGAAATTACCTTTTAGGTAATAATAACAAAACAAAAAAATGAATTAATTTTAAAAAAATTAATTACATTTTTAAAATAGGATCCCGATAAAAATGCAGTATTATGTTCTCATATCTATGTAAAAGACATATTATAATGAGATGTATAATTAAATTAAATAGTGTTTGGTGAACGAACGTACCGTTTTCTTTTCTTTTTTTTTTTTCAAACTAACTTTTCATAAATAAAATGAGAATTTAGAAAATAAAAGTTAACTAATTTCATTTAGTTGAATTTTAGTAGAGGTACTACAACTTAAGTAGAATGATCTACCAGGACAACGCATCGCTAAAGTATGTGATTGAGAAGCCGAGAAAATTCTCTACAATAAAATAGACATTAAAAATAGATATATACTGAATAAGACAAGAAAAAGTAGTAGTAGTCTTTATTTAATATATTATAATAATATATTAAACAAATAATAGCATATGATAAAAATAAACTAAAGGGAATTATTATTTTAATTAATACTATCACTGTCTGTAAACAGTTTGAATATCATTTAAAAATGCAATAAATAAATTTGGGACATTGGATTGCATAATTTTCCATCGCAATAAGGGAGGGGAATAATAATTTATAAAAACAGGTCTGGTTTATATACAAAATCCACAGGAAGATTTCATTCACTGTGTGCTACTTAAGTAAGGCAGATAATTTTCTCTAAGATAGATCAAATATTTAAGAAGAATCATACACGTAGACCACATCAGTCACTTAGTTAAACGCTGCACGTGATACACACTTGGGTGATCATGTATCTTTCGATACATGATTGATGAGGCTAAAAAATTTTTTCCTGCAGTAGGTTTCTATTTCTTTCTGCTGTAGACTGGTTGCCAACCTAGGCTATTCAACACATAGAGCGAATAGATGGATTCATAACTTTCCCAAGGGAATTTGTGCGTAAGTGAATATAACAAACCCTATTAGAATTCGAACGCAAATTCTTATTCCAAGCCGACATCCATAACACCACAACTCATCACATACTTAAGGTATAAAGTTCAAACACGTCGGAAAATATCAAACACATAGCCTCTTCTATAGAATATAAGATTAGCAAAAACTCTTCTAGCAAATATGTCTTTTACAAGTATAGTAAAGTTTACAACACTGCCTTAAAAATAGTGGCTATAAGTGCACCGACATCAAATATATAAAGCATGACAACAGCGATCGTAGGAATAGAAACAGGAAAATCATTTGGTACACCCCCGTCATTTAATCAAACAGTACTAAGTTAGGAAAGAAGTTCCTCCATTTAATTGATAAACACTTCTCCAGAAATAATCCACTCAGTAACGTTTTTAACAAAAATACACTAAAACAAAACTATGGCTGTACCGATAATCTGGAAAAATATTAAGAAAACATTATAATAAAAATTTTAAACCAATAAAAAACCTGAGTAATAATAGCCATTCCGAAGCAACAAACGCAGATAATACCAACAAGTGTAATTATGGAAATTCTAACGAATGCCTATTGCAAAACCAATGTCAAACTGACTTTTTTGTTTACCTAAGCACTGTTTCTACTATAGAAAATCCAACAGTTAAAAAAATTATATTGGAAGTACCAAGAATTCTTTTAAAACAAGGTGGTATCAACATATATTATCTTTCACCAATAACACTTATAAAAATATGACCTCCCTTTCTAAATATTTTTGGAACTTGCAAGAAGTTAACAAAACCCCTACGGTAAAATTGAAAATACAAAAAAAGCTAGAACCTGTAAATCTTTAAATAAACCTTGCTTCTTATGCTTACATGAGAAACTAGAAATTATCCGGTTTACTGACAAAAAATATCTATTAAATCAAAGAAGTTAATTAACTGTAAATTACCGACACAGTTTATATTTTACCTTACAATATAGTTATTTTTTTTTTTAAATAGGTAGTATCATTTCTTACGGTCATAATTAATAAGTAAATAACGGTTCACCATCTACAAGTAATTATTTTATTTTGCTTTTTCAGATTTAGCATTGCTCTGTATTGTTGTCCAGTTAGGATTATTAATATCTTATATAGATGTTTCACTTCTTTAATTTTATCTACAGGTTCCTCTAAAATGCCTCCTGAATCTGAAATTTAAAGAAAAAATTCTGTTGAAATTAACTTTACGCCTGATTATCCTCCTACCACACTCCCCTCAGCGTCCTTTGAAAAACTGAATATATCATATTTGTCTACAATCACAATACATTTTTTGCTTGCATGTTTTCCACAAATGTCAATGATGACCTGTCTAAGTTCCGGTTTATTATGACATGTAAAAATAACTTCCTCATCTTCACTCTCTGGGCTTAATTTTCTATTTAGCGTAGATCTGAGACTTGATTGGTTGATCAAGGCAAACCCACAAGTCTATTTTTAATTCTGACCTTGTGTTTACTCACCCCTTTATCTTTTGAAAAAAGAAGTAATACTTTGCTTTTGAAAATTTCTTTAAGATTATTTAATCACCCACCAATCACTTACCATCGCCTGAGGAGGCACAGCATAGTGCCGAAACGTGAAATCTATTGTGTAGCGACTTCAACATGTTTTTGTTCTAATCTCTTATAATAAAAACAATAAATATTTATTAATAATGATGTAAATATTTTGGGAATTGACTAAATTTTGATAGATAGATATTAATACTTTTGTCAAAGACAATTTTTTTACATAACTTAGATTAAAATCAACGAGGAAATTTTACGAAAAATAATAACAAAAAGGACACTTATATTAAGAATCAGAAAGACAAAGTTGAGATTTTGGGGACACATAATGAGGCGCGGGCTAAGAGAATTTAACACTCACAAGACATACTGAAAGCAAGAACAGACAGAGACAAAAAGCTTGTTTTATGTCAGATCAGGAAGTGAGAACGCCAGTAAAAAGCAAACGTTACTTGGAGCAGCAAAAGGCAC